TCAACAATTTAATAAGAAGAGGATACAATATATTTCAAACTTTGGTCAATTAAACCTTAATTTCGAGTATAACCAATTATCTGTCTACTTCCTAAATATATTTGATTTTTGTTTCAAGATTTCAATTTACTTCTGAGAAAGAGAATGACAGACAAGAAAAACAAGGGCTACAATGTTTTTTGATTTCTTAAAGGATACAAATTATGTGCTAGACGGAAGAAATATCTAAATCAGGTAGTTTCTAGTGTCAATTTCGAGAGATCTCTTAACGATTCCAGGAGGTTTATCATTTTACCTCCTAATGCAAGTGTTGTCATCTTTCCATTTATAGCAGACGTTGAGCTGGAATAAAGTGACTTTCCCTACTAAGATATAATGACATGCATTGTTTATTCCTATAGCATCAACGTAAAATGGTAAATAAAAATATTGTTATTGTTATTATTTGTGTTTATTTCATAAACACAAATAAAGCTACAATTGTTGGCCAGAAGAGTATCTTGAGCCAACTAAGAAAACAAGTGCTAGTCAATAAAATTGACGTTAATAAAATTTCCAAAATATATTGGACACCTTACCTCAACAGAAATTATGGTTACTCAATACTCAAAGACACTATTTGATCCTCTCTAAAATCTCGGACAATATGAATCAAATTTTGATGTGACTTTTCTTTTTACTTGAAGGCATATTAATAGACTTGATTTCAAGTTCAATTTTTAAATCAAATCCAGTAGCCTGCCTTTCACTACAACCTAAATAAATATTAGCATACATAAAATTTCTATCAATGTGATAAAGTTAGATGTAGTTCAAATATATCAATAAAAAGGCAAAACAATGACGTAGGGATCCTATGTATCGGCTCAAAAGTGGTATATATGTCGTCCACCTAGCCAGTACCAAAAAGGGATCAGTTTTAAAATACATATATTTTACAAACAGAGCTTTTGTTGGTGGTTTCCTCTATTGTTTTCTATAACGATTATATGATGGACTCTTTACAATGATAATTTAAAATATAATATCTAATATTATATTTTAATTCCACTTGAACCCTTCAATGGCATACCTAATCTAAATAAATCTTGTAGTATTTCAACATCATCAAGTAGAAAAGAAGCATATAGATGGATATGTTGGCAGATAAACAATTGGTAGCAATAAATATTGGCATTGATTAGCACTAAGATATCTCTGTTTTCTGGTAAGCTTTTCAAAAATTTCAACTTTCATATGCTAAAGCTCAAGCCCAGTGGCTGCCTAAATCCATATCTGTCAAAACCATTTCAATAACATTAGTAGAACTATAGGGTTTTATTTCTCAAATTTTTTCATTTTCATCATTTAACCATGTAAAAATAGTACGGAATTTACATTATTAGCCCTATTTATCACTAAATGGGTCGAGAGGGACTACTACTCAGAGGTTACAAATTAAAGCTATGTAGAATCCATGCCTCTTTACCTTCTCTAGGTACTCTTTCCCTTATCATCATTGTTCTTAGAAATTAATCATTTTTTTGTGCTTTCTCTAAAATAGAATCCCAAGAATAGACAGAGAAATTGGAAAATACAGAGAAACAGTTGTAACTAAAACCCCCAAAAAAGAAAAGTATTTAATACCGAATTAGGAAGCAATGCAAAAAGAAAGATATGATAGAAAAAAGTAATTCTGACCAGGGAAATTGCCCACCAGGGCTGTTAAATTATTGTACATAATCAGCTTTGGCTTTTTTTTTTTTTGTCTTTCTTTTTTTCATAGATTTATGGAATAGTTGTGAAGGAAAAGAGGGCTAAACTCTCTCCAATTTGCCCCTCTTTCATCCATCCTGCGAGGGGAAAGACATTTTGTCGGACAAGAGCAGAACAGAAGAAAAAGGCTCCGACAAAACAAGTTGTCTCTCTTTTTACTGCAGAACATAGTTATGCTAAAATGGAAAATCACAAAATCATCAAACTACATAAAAAAAAAATACAAAAAACCCAAAAACCCAAAAGAAAAAAAAGGAAAACCAGCCGAAAAGTAAAGAGGAGCCTCTTGACTCTGCGCAGTTTCTTCCCAAAAGCCAAAAAACATAAAAAAATAAAAGCAATTTTCTTTTTCACATTTGGGTTGAGTGAATTCTTAAAGTCATGCGTCGAACTCTCAGTCCATTTTTGTGGTATTTATGGTCGGCCAAAAATCTTTCTAATAAAAAGAAAAATGCATTAATTGGATGAGAGGCAGTTAGCTTAAATCCACAGGCATACAGAGGTCACTGGGCATTGGTGGGAGAGAAAGAAAATTGAACTTTCTCATTTAGATCTGAATTTCGACCGAATGGGAACATTTTGCAGATAGTACTCAGGCAAATACGTGGGACTATGCTTTTTTCTAGTAGTTCTATTTTCATCATATTGACGTCAATACTTTGAATTTGGAAAATTATTAATTCACAGATATAATTGTGCGTAGAGCTGGGAGAATTGCCTGCATCTCAATTACCGAGTTGGAATTTTTGATCGATTACAGAAGCAAAGACGAAGAACAGCATAACATTGCTGAGCGAGAAAGAAGCTCTGTGCTGCAATGTATCTATCTATGTACTCAAGTGATTTATGCTATTATGGTGAGGATGACATATGAGCTATATTAGTATTGTTAAACTCTTTTTTTCTGTTAAACAGTGTACGGAAGTCAAATTGTGTAGAGCTAAATGAATTTAATCAATAGCCAATAACCAATAACCAATGAAATAGACTATTTAGGCATCTTTGCGTATTTTCGTCATCTGCATCATCGGTTCTTGTTACTTTTTGATGAATTACCAAATAAAGAATTATACTCTCCCTCGCTCTCTGTCTTAAGCTACATCTGTTAACTTCTCAGCAATGATTTTCGAAGGTAGGTCCAGAACAGCAGGTCTTTAATTGTTCCCAGTACCATTATTAGTGGCATTTTTAAAATGTTCATTCTGGATAACATCTAGTAGAGAAATATTTTTTTTTTTATTACACTGCCCATAAAAATACATAGCGTATGCTGTTAGTATTCTGCGATTTAGTTGGAAATGTGTTTCCACCAAAAAGTCAAAATTACTATTAAAAAATAATAATAGTAGAAACAAGGCATAACTATAGGGAGATTTGATCGGTTGGAAACTCTTGTATAAACTATGTAGACAGCCAAGAAATTATGACAGTATTGGGTCAATATAATTTATGTCAAGTAGTTAATTAATACTGAATTATTCATAGATGACCTGATCAATCAGCAGTATACATTTTGTAAAATGAGACAAATATTAATTTATTTATATATATTTTTAGAAATAATGCATATGCATATGCAAAGAAGGTTTAATAATTTAGACCTGCATAGTGGCTAATTAAAATTGCATTTTACTAAAAGACCATACAAAATCGTCTTGGTTTTATGCAAGTTAATGAATGGTACATCACATTTAAAACATTATCTATCTAGTAAATGCCAAATTTATAATATAATTGCAATAATAATAATTATAAGAAAAAGATGATATATGTATTGATACTTTCACGGATTTCTTGCCATTCACTCAGTATTCTGTCATCTCTTTTTAATTTTTAGATCATCTTGGGGTTTGTTCTAGCAGTTCAAATTGATCCTCACGTAAGACCTCTGAGGAAGTTCTTCCTCACCATGATGCCCAGAAAATATTGCTTAGGCAAAAAATAAATTCAAAAAAGAAACAAATTTTTCTTTCTTCTTGCAAACGTGCTGAATCTGTTACGTCAACACACTGCTCTTGACCAACAAACCCTCTAATCCAACACTACAGACAACATCTTGTATTTTTTCTTCTAATAAGCAACTATCTATCCTTATCTTCCAATGTGTCCCTTTTGCTATACAGTATGCTTACTGTCTACGTTGTCTTTCTCTTTTTGTCGGCTTTAAAATGTAGCAGAGCAAACTATTTTCTATTCATATCTGTGTGGTAATATTCTATATTCGAATCCTACAGATCTAATACTGCTCTGCTCCCTGTCAAATTAACTTTTAGTTGAATCGAACAAACCAGAAGAAACTCACGTACTTCTCGAATGTAATTGCGATAAATTCTGTTACTATTCTATACCATCTCTCTTTTTTTTTTCAGTTAGCAGACATTCAGATGCCTTCGAAAGAAATAAAATTTTTTTTGTCAGTACGTTGAAATTTCGAAAAATTTAAATTATCCTTGATATTAATGGATCACATTTCTTTGACTGTACGGTTTTCTTTTTAATTTTAACTTTATACTTACTGCTACGAAGGTTATTTCGAAATCAGTGTAGTGGATAAGTGTATGTAACCTTTACGATTCAATCTGTTTCAATTCGATGTAGGCTAGTTTGGTAATCGATTGATTTAATTGAGTTTAGAAAGCAATTCTCACCATCTATTGTTGTATCAAAGATATAACGTAGCTTGATCAAATTTGTTGAGTATGAGAGATACGCACAAGTACTCTTAAAAATTTCTATTTACAATAAATTGATACTCTTATCTCTGTTTATCCTGTGAATTGAATGACATTCTTACATCCTTACACAAATCATAATAGCCAGAAGCTACCCAAGTTTGAATTATTTTTATTATTACCAATTAATTAATTAACTAATAAAAAAAACTGTTTGCATTCATCAGATTATGTTATCCTCATTATAATTTCAAATTAGTATTTAAACATGATTCCCAAATCTAAAAATTATTTTGAACTTTTTTTCCTTTGTGTTTCTTTTTTATCATCCATTGATTTTTATTTAATATATCTTCTTTACACTATTAGACCACGAAAACTTAAACTCGAAACGTCCAATACTGGTTAGCAACTGTCATATTTGAAATAAAAAAAATTCAAATAGTCAACTTTCCCTCCCCATTTCCTACCATTCAATAAGTCTCTTTTAAAGATATTTATTACTACAAAAATCTATTAAAAATATAGAAACAAATATTAGCTTAGATTCTAACATAATTTTTCTACATTAAAATGTGTGCAGCTATTATAACAAAATCATTTCAAAACTGTTCTGAAAGTGAAGTTCCAGGCTACAATGACTGTCCTTCTTTCTTATTCGACCTAGGTACTAAGAGAAACACTATTAAAGACAATAAAATTATTGATAATGTCCCATACATGTACGGCAAAAAATTACAAGCTAATGTGGTAGCTCCACCACCACCAATGAAACGTAGAGTAAGTAGAAGAACTTCTTCCACTTCCTCTTTGGTTTCATCATCTTCTTCCGTTGAATTTGATCATTTATTAGCTAAGGATGAAATCTTATCTATGATCAGCCAGTTATTGAACACTCAATCAAGATTATCTTCTAAAGAATTCGATTTCTACAGAAGAAAGATCGACTCTAACATCAGTGGCAGTTTAGATCACGAAAGTACTAGACACATCCTAACACAATTCTTTACTGAATCAAAGAGAAACAGAGCTAACGCTGAAACTCTACTCAGAAACTGGATGATTACTGACATCACTATTTCAAATTGGTCTCCAGCTTTATTGAAAGTTTTTGAAAACACTATTGTATAATTGTTTCGGTCAATTTTATTAAATAATATTTCAATTTTAGCTTTAATAAGAACTCTGGAACAGTTCAAATAGTTTAACGGGAAGATATTTTTACGAAATCAATAATAAAACTTATTAACAATAATAATTACATTAATCAGGAATGATTCAAAGTTTTATTGAATTTGAATGTTCGATCCTTGATGGATTTTACATTTTTAATTTTTAGTTTTTCGTATTTTAGGTTTGCATATACTTTGAGGTTTTTTATGTCGTGATGATATCCATTATGAAAATAGTTTGAAGAGAACTTGTGAAGGGTATTATCTATAGAACTAACCAATTATTAATAATAGGATAGTTTTAATGTGTTTATGAACGGTATTTAATTTCAAATAGAATTTCATTTTTAGTCATAATTAGGTTTTTAGATAGAAAAAAATAAAATAACTTAAAAATTAGTATAAAGCCAATGTTTTCATCTGGAATAAATTCAATCTGTTTTACAACACTAAGGGTTATTATCCGAAGTTATCATTGGATTGCTTTAAAATATTTTATTAAATTTTATTAATTAAGAACCATTGGGAAACCAGAAAGGCAAGCTAACCAAGGCATTGAATGCATTTCCGTTGTTTGTCTCCGGAAGGCTCTTTGAGACCACGTAATGACTTTTTGAAATTTATTCTAATATAGGAAATTCGTTTATGTCATTTTGATTGATTTAGTAAGTGATGACAATTATACCATTTGAAATAGATATTTAGATCAAGTGTCATTAAATAATGTTATAATATATATTTTTAAACAGTCTTAGCTAAACTTTAACAATCAATTAGTTAAAATGAAATATAAGCATATTGAAAATATTTGAAATTTTAGAATATTCATTGGTATTTTTTTAGAAGTAGCTTTCTATTATTATCTCGATTAACTACATGGATGAAATGTACATAATTATATATGACTATATAGATAGATTATTACCTTTTATCTGATATTTTTTTTTTATAACTCTTAAAATAAAAAGAGGGAGAAAATTCTTACTAATACAATGTAGCATGCAATCAAGCATTTTACATCTTCTTTCTCTTACCAACGGTAGCTTGGAAACCTGTCTTAATTGAAGAAACAGATCTGGTGGAACCACAACTTTTACAAACCAAGAAGAACAATCTGTTTGATTGTTCTTTCTTCAAATCAGTGTTAATACTCTTACATGTTTTACAGGTAACGTATTCCATAATATATCTTCTTAAAACATTTTCCATTTGTTTAGATTGGAACTTACCTTTAATAACTAATCTCTTTTGACCATCGACAGAACCTGAGGTACCCAATTCAGCAAATATATATTGAATCAAATGGTCAGTGGACCTTTGTAATTTTTCAGAAATATCTTCAATATTACTGAAAATAGTCTTTTTACCATCACGTAAACAAACTGGAGGTGGAATTCTGAATTTAGGACCACTTCTGTCACCAGCTAATTCAGGATTATTGGTTCTTAAAAATATTGAAAAATCTAGATAATAAATCTTTATATGGTAAACCAATATCTTCTTGTGCTACTGAACCTACAACTGGGGTAGCTTCCTTGCTGCTGGCTTCATCAACGACAACACCTGCCTTGGCCAACTGTTGTTCAAATTCATCTAAGTCTTCACCACCAATCTCTTCAACAGACTTACTCTTCTTCTTCTTCTTTTTCAATTTCAAGTCACCCAAAGCTTCTGAAATATCGTCAACTTCAGCAGAACCTTCATCAGCTACAGCCTTGGACTTCTTCTTCTTCTTCTTCAAACCAGCAAACAAATCCTCACTGCTATCTTGAGAACCTTCTCCACTAATACCTGCTTCCAAATTTTCTGGAGCCTTCTTAGTCTTCTTCTTTTTCTTCAATGCAGGATCAAATCCTAACTCAACTGCTAGATCGGATGACATCGCTTATTCTCTTACTTTAAAAGTGCAATCAACAGTGCCAGACACACAGAATCAATATCTCAAAGCAAATGCCAAACAAGACTAACCAATATTGACCACTATTACCTAAACCTTTTATCGAATTCCTTTATTTTTATACTCATTCAAAACCTTTTGTATCTCTTATTTCTTGTTCCTCTCAAAAATTTTTCACTTTGATGGAAAGAACAGAAACCAAAAAAAAAAATATTACCCAAATTATTGCCGGGTAACACACGTGACTTATTATATTATGATAACACATGTATAACAAGTCACGTGTTTTATATTAGAACATGCGTCACTGTCATTGCTTCCTTGAATTGGTGTCTATCCATCCATCAGCAGCTGGCAATTTTACCAACATACACAGCCGTCATGTATTCACTAGGGTGTGACTAGTTATAATTATACGTAGATACAAAGATACATACATACGTATATATATATATATATGCGATTCACAGTTACTCACAAACACACACACTTACACATAGATGTATATACATATGAATGTGACCGTGGACGGTATATATATATCCAGACTTTTGAGTTGTTAGATGCTATGGGCTGTGTCCATGTATTTTATAATTTTTCCTTTGTTCTGTTTTAAGAGAGAGTTTGAGTATATGTATATGTATGTTCGTGTGTGAAATAACCTCCCTCATTCCTTTTCTTGGTCTATCTTTAATTGTTCTGTTTCTTCTGCAAGAACTTGGGCTGCTTCCTTGGTGATACTTTCAATTTCAGTACCTTCAGTGATTTTAATGGTCTCAATCTTGCCTTCTTGTTGTGTTTCATCTTCATCTTCATCGTCACTTTCTGGCTCAACATCGTATTTCTTCAGGAAATAAGTTTCCACTTCTTCTTTACCGTTATTTTCTGCTTCATAGATGGAATCATGTCCAAATTGATTTCTGATAAATGGGTCTGCATCATACTCATCACATAATAGTTGTACTACATCTAATTTACCATTCAAAGCTGCCCAGTGCAATGCAGTGTTCCCCGTTTCGTTAGTGGCATTGACAAATTCTTTCAATTTTTCTTCATCTCCATTGTTTTTAGCCATTTCTAAAAGATATTGAATCATTCCCAAGTGTCCATTTGCTGCTGCCATATGTAAAGCAGTGGAATTTGAAACAGAGTCTCTACAGCTAATCATCAATGATGGATCTATAAGAGTGGTAAAAACTTCTTGCAAAGACTCTACATCACCAGCTCTGGCATCAGCAACAATTGCATCCTGATCTTCTTGATCCAATGCCCCTTTATATAATGTCATTTTTTCTTTTCTAATTTTTATTATCCTATCACTAGCAAAAAATATAAAATTTTTTTTGGTTCCCTCTTTTTGGTTCCCAGTTGAATTATCTAATTACTTTACCTCCAGAAACTTGAATGTATTATACTACTAGAATCATAAATCTATCATCCCATTTCAAATAATCAAAACGAACATCAATCAATACACATCCTTACTTATCGTTATGGTTGGGTCTCACCTCATCTCATCTCATCTCATCGCTGGTTGTTAAACACACACTATTAAATTTTTCAATATCTGGTTACAAACAGTTACGTACACAATGACATTTGGTTTAACTATGTAAAAGTATTTAAAGCATCTGATATTAACATATACACTAATCAATACTACTTTTAAAGGTTAATACAATTGTGATATAGTCTGTTCACGGACCAACCACCAGTGGATAACATTACTGTGGTCGAGACGTGGTTCAACTTAACTTTATATTGTTATAGCTTTGTTTTAACTTCCAAGTTTAATTGAGCTTAATTTTATCGAGAAGAAAGGTAGAGAGATAAAAGCATAAGAACAGAAGACTATAATACAATGGATAGCAATCAAAATACTATTGCCGATTTAATTAAAAAGGGGCCTGATTTTATCTCTGATGAACCATTGGATGTTTATTTTCTCAAATTACGTGATTTTTTGGAAAAATTGAATAAACTTGATTTAAGTTCTAATGACAGCAATGCTGATGGCGACCTCTATTTGAAGTGGGGGTTTCAATCTAATGAAGAATTTGTATCCATATTACTAGAATATTTTAAAGAATTATATGAATTAGTATTAATAAAACAGGATGAGTTGTTGAAACAAGAGAAGAATTTACTACCTCTTTCTCTTCATGATATGAGATACTTTGATGAATTAATCAATCTATTATTGATTCACGGTATCGATGCAAATATACTACCAGATTCAAGGATCCCACTAGATCAAAAAAGATTGGAGAATTTTAAAGAATATAAATTGATTTACGATATACCGCCTACACATACTATGAATTTTGCTACTTTAATTAAAGTAGTGAATTACTTCTATAAGATTATCATTCAAAAGGGGAATAAAACAGATTATGTACGTTCAATTTTACTTAAAGGTCCTACTTTTACAAATATGTTTTTAGCAATATCGGTTTTACTCACTAACGACATTACTTGTGCGCATATCTACTCAAAAATGTTAGATTCCCTAGAAGATTGTCAAGAAACTTACCAATTATTCGTGGTTTACTCATTTTTGGTACAAACTGTTTCGAACCCTTCAGTGAAACAAGTACCACTTTCAAAATTATCGACTTTGGCTCTGCGAAGAGAGAATGGTGTCATAAGTCTATGTGATTTTGTTTTAGGTGTTAGAGAAGAAGAACAAATCAGTTTAGAGAAATTTGAAAGAGTCAACCAGATTCTATTAGCTAAACCAAAGGATATGAACAATAAAGATTACTTAACAAAACTTTTCGAACAGATATACGAAGGTTTAACATATATTAATAGGCCAGTTTTAGTAAATTGTTTAAATGGCCTTGTAACGGAATTTTATTTCAGGAATAAGCGTATTATCAAAGATTTCTTGTTACAAAAGATAAATGACGTCTTGTTTAACGAACCAGCAAAATCACATTCAATTAAAGAGCTAAATGATACTATTAATATTCTAATATCATTATCTAAAAACTCATCCACAGAGCTTGTCAATTTTGTAGTTAACGCATATGACGGCAAGAAATTTTATCTAAACCTGTGGATATATGCATTATTTTTAAAGAAAAAACAAATTTTGAGCCCTATGAAGGACGAAGCAGGAGGTGCCAGTACTTATTATGAAGTAATACTATCTCTAATGAAATCATTTTTTACCATAACTGATAATTTTGATAGTCTAGAGACTATTACTTTAAATATGGTAAATTACCGCCATGAAAATTGGACATATTCTATCGATTTGGAAACACACTTAGCATACATATCGCTGGAGACACCAGAAAAATCTATTTCTAGTCAGTTAAAAGTAAAGAAGGAAGACGATGATTCAAAACTGGATGAAGCGACTAAATTCTTTCAAGATATAGATGACTCAATTTCAATATTTATAGAATTATTGAAACTAATTGCAGATGACAATGTTATCAGCAAAATATTCTTAAACACATTAAGTAAATGGGTTCAAACCTCTGATACATTGAAGGAAACATTACCGCTTGACGTCACTGCAAATGACAGTGCATTGGTATTAGTTGATCTTAAATTACTAGAAAAGATGAACAATGAATTTAAGACCGATCTAATAAAAAAATGGGAAGACTTGCTTTCCATGGTTGATGAATTGCTGGAAGCATCGAAAACAAAAGAGTTGAAAACAGAAGATGACAAAGAAATTGATTCTGATGACGAAGATGAGGATGAAGAAATTGTAAAAGATAATACCCATGCTTCTGGTACCTTTGAAACACTGTTGGAGTTAATATCAGCTGTTTTAAGCACCACATCACCCCAAGAGCTAATGAAAAAACAGGAATTACTTGAGAGTATAAGAGGCAAACTAGTTAAATCAATGGATGGAAATTCTGATTGTGAAGCATTAATTGAGAAATTAAACAAAATACTATCAGGAGAAAAGGTTGGTTTAGAATCCGAGATTCCTGATATCAATGCTCAAGAACGATTGGATAAAGCGATGCTGAATTTAAGTGACCCATTATTACCTATTAAAGTACATGGCCTTCAAGAATTGTTAGAACTAGTCGAATCTAAGTCTAATGTGATAACGCTGGATAAAGTTTTACAATTGCATATGCAATACTTGAGAAATCCAGATCCGTATGTGTATTTGAACATAATCAAGGGACTCAGTAAATTACTTCAATTGGACAGTGACAAGACCCTTCCAGAATTGATCGAGTTTTATGACAATAAGAAAGGAAGAAATAAACTAGATGATATATTAAAAGTTGGTGAAGTGTTTATAAAATATATTGAGACTGAGAACGAGTTGTTTGCAGGTAAGAAAGCCGACATGATAATTACAGCATGTTTGAATAAAATTCGACAACATAGCAAACTTGATGACAGAATAAGGATGTCAGCGACATCTATTTTAGGTGTCTGTCTTCAAGTCAATGCTCGAGGCATATCTGATCGTATAAGTGATATGCTTGATTGTGCGTTTGGTATTTTACAACTTGAAACCGACACAAAGAGTTCCAATCTAATGAGACGAGCTGCCATTCATATGATGCATGATCTGATGTACAATGCCGGATTTGAATTGTTTCCTAGAGAATACAGTCCGGAACGTATCAAAACGTTGCTGGAGTACACTGAATTGAATGATGATGATTTTCTAGTATGTGAGCAAGCCCACATGTTACTGGAAGTAATGGAGTAAATGACAAGGAAAGCACACATACACATACGTACATACGCACATATATAGATCAAACATGATAGGTACATACATGCATAGATAGATTGAATGTACATTCTTTTACATATAGATTTAGAGTCCTTTCTCTGTTATTCCTGTATCTAGGTTACCAGTACCACGTGACACAGATACAAACAGAGAATGTCCATCTTGTTCGTTTCTAGAAACTGCTAGAACAGAAGAATCTGTGTATATAATTGTGTATGCTATTTCCCCTTTTTTTTTTGTCTTCCTTCGTTAAATAGAGGAAAGAGAGATGAAACAAAGACAAACAAACCACTCACGTGTATTACACGTGCCATAAAATTCTTTCCTTTCCTTTCCTTTCCCGTCAAACGAAAACCCTTTTTTTTTGTTCATTTTTTCCATTTTCCTTCTAGAAGGCTATAGAAGAAAATATTTTTCCATTTTCCACTATTGTTCATACAATTTGTAAGTTGAAGATTTTAGATTTTAGATTTTAGAGAATTGATTATCGTCGGGGATGGCAATCATAAAACGTATTTAAGTAATTGAATTCTCTTGAAATGTATTTTTACAATCTACTTCCTTTGTAATCGTTTCCATCTTTAGATTTTGTTTCATTTTTTCGGTTGATTTTCCTTTATACTTAATTTTTATTTTATTACTTGTCCTTTCATTTTACATATTTTTCAATTGTAAAAAGTTCAGTAGATCAGTCAAATTGAGCGTTTAAGTTTCATTACTAACCTCACACAACCTTCCCCCATTCCCAACAGAATATCTCATACACATAGTTAATAAAAAAACCAAGATGTCTGGCGAAACTTTTGAATTTCAAGCTGAAATCACTCAGTTGATGAGTTTGATCATTAACACCGTTTACTCAAACAAAGAAATCTTCTTGAGAGAATTGATTTCTAACGCTTCTGATGCCATCGACAAGATCAGATACCAATCTTTGTCCGATCCAAAGCTATTGGAAACTGAACCTGAATTATTCATTAGAATCACTCCAAGACCAGAAGAAAAAGTTTTGGAAATTAGAGATTCTGGTATTGGTATGACCAAAGCCGAATTAATTAACAACTTGGGTACTATTGCCAAGTCCGGTACAAAGGCCTTCATGGAAGCTTTATCTGCTGGTGCAGACGTCTCCATGATTGGTCAATTCGGTGTCGGTTTCTACTCTTTATTCTTGGTCGCTGATAGAGTCCAAGTTATCTCCAAGAACAACGATGATGAACAATACATTTGGGAATCCAATGCCGGTGGTTCTTTCACTGTCACTTTGGATGAAGTTAACGAAAGAATCGGTAGAGGTACCATCTTGAGATTGTTCTTGAAAGAAGATCAATTGGAATACTTGGAAGAAAAAAGAATTAAAGAAGTCATCAAGAGACATTCTGAATTCGTCGCTTACCCAATTCAATTGTTAGTCACCAAGGAAATCGAAAAGGAAGTCCCAATCGCTGAAGAAGACGAAAAGAAGGAAGAAGAAGAAGAAAAATCTGAAGAAGACGACAAAAAGCCAAAATTAGAAGAAGTTAAAGAAGATGAAGAAGAAGAAGAAAAACCAAAGACTAAGAAAGTTAAGGAAGAAGTCCAAGAATTAGAAGAATTAAACAAAACTAAGCCACTATGGACTAGAAACCCATCTGAAATCACTCAAGATGAATACAACGCTTTCTACAAGTCTATCTCCAACGACTGGGAAGACCCATTATACGTCAAGCACTTCTCCGTCGAAGGTCAATTGGAATTCAAGGCTATCTTATTCATTCCAAAGAGAGCTCCAATGGATCTATTCGAAAGTAAGAAGAAGAAGACTAACATCAAGTTATACGTTCGTCGTGTTTTCATCACTGATGAAGCTGAAGATTTAATCCCAGAATGGTTATCCTTCGTTAGAGGTGTTGTCGACTCTGAAGATTTGCCATTGAACTTGTCCAGAGAAATGTTACAACAAAACAAGATCATGAAGGTCATCAGAAAGAACATCATCAAGAAGATCATCGAATCTTTCAACGAAATTGCTGAAGATTCTGAACAATTCGAAAAGTTCTACTCTGCCTTCGCCAAGAACATCAAGTTGGGTATTCACGAAGACACTCAAAACAGAGTCGCTTTATCCAAGTTGTTGCGTTACAACTCTACCAAGTCTACTGATGAATTGACCTCTTTGACCGATTACGTCACTAGAATGCCAGAACACCAAAAGAACATTTACTTCATCACTGGTGAAACTTTGAAGGCTGTTGAAAAATCTCCATTCTTGGAAGCTTTGAAGGCTAAGAACTTCGAAGTCTTATACTTGATTGACCCAATTGATGAATACGCTTTCACTCAATTAAAGGAATTCGATGGTAAGACTTTGGTTGACATTACCAAGGATTTCGAATTAGAAGAAACCGAAGAAGAAAAGGCTGAAAGAGAAAAGGAAGAAAAAGAATTCGAAGAATTGACCAAGGCTTTGAAGGAAGTTTTGGGTGAACAAGTCGAAAAGGTCGTTGTTTCTCACAAGTTGTTGGATGCTCCAGCTGCTATCAGAACTGGTCAATTCGGTTGGTCCGCTAACATGGAAAGAATCATGAAGGCTCAAGCTTTGAGAGACACCTCCATGTCTTCTTACATGTCCTCCAAGAAGATCTTTGAAATCTCTCCAAGATCTCCAATCATCAAGGAATTGAAAAAGAGAGTCGAAGAAGGTGGTGCTCAAGACAAGACCGTCAAGGACTTGACCAACTTGTTATTCGAAACTGCATTGTTGACCTCTGGTTTCTCCTTGGAAGAACCATCCTCCTTCGCCTCCAGAATTAACAGATTGATCTCTCTAGGTTTGAACATCGACGAAGAAGAAGAAGAAGCCGCTCCAGAAGCTGCTCCAGAAGCTGCTGTCGAAGAAGTCGCTGCTGACACCGAAATGGAAGAAGTTGATTAAGCAATTTAATTTACAATCTAGCTAAATCCACTAACCGCCCCCCTCAATCAATCAAAACATAAATATTATTTAAACCCCTGTATAAAAAAATAAAATAAGCTTTCTTTAAACTTTAATTTATATTACATTTGACTTTAATGAAATCATTATCGACTAACTTCGAAAGAAAAGATTCTTGATACATTCAATACAAATGAAATCAGATCTCTATTTCAAATCTGCTCCTTATAGATGCCCTTCCTTTTGAATCACTTTTTTTTTTTAATTTTTCATTTTTCCTTAAATTGACTTTGAAGCCTTTATTAAATTTCAATATAAGAACTAAAGTTTAAAAATATCTAACCGAATTTAAAAACGTAGTAATATATAGTATATGAATCTGATGAAGGTTTAAAAGAATAGATCTGTCAATAGAAAGATATTGTTTGATATTTAGAATTTTGTCAAGATGTTCAATGTCAAGCGTATAGTTTCACCTAACAACAAACCACCTTCTGCAGTTACCGTATGTGTTTTAGCGTTGTTAATTGTATTATACGTTGTTAACTTATATGTTAATATCAACGATAATTTAGGTTTAAGACCATCGTCGTTATTTGATTTTGAACTAAGTAGATTGTCTTTGTATCCATTGGCTCATTTATCCATAATCCATCTCGTTTTTAATGTTATTTCTTTATTCCCATTGTTAAACCTTTATGAATCCACTCATGGTACCGTAATGACAGCTGTTACTTTGAATATTACAGCTGTTGCTGCTGGTGTGATGTATTGTATTGTAGGCTCATTATTATATCCAGATGTCGGTGTTGCAGGTTCTAGTGGTTGGTTCTTTTCATTGCTAGGTTATTATAGTTTCAAAGAAGCCAGTGTTCACCCTAGAACTCCAATTTTTAAAACTCATTATACAATTCCAACTCAATTATCTCCTTTGATCTTAATTGTTGTGATATTTGTTTTGATACCACATTCTAGTTTCTGGGGACACTTCTTTGGGTTATTAGTAGGATATTTCATGGGATGGAGGGAAAATTGGTTCGTTAAACTTCTCCCACCAAGTTGGATAATAGTTATGATTGAAACTAAATTAGATTTCTTAATCAGATTGATACCAGGGTTTGTGAAATATTATAAACAACAAGATGTCGAGAACAATGACCAGTACATTTCAATTTATGAAGGCGCTGACTTACTACCAAGCCATAATGAAGATCCTGTCAGTAGAGCCGTCTAATCTTTGAATTGAATGAATATTCCACAATTTTTTTTTGTATATTAAATTTTTTAAATAATGTATATGTAAAAAGTAGCAAATATACGTATGCGATCTTCTTCAGTTAATTCGTTTACAGGATGTCTTTATTATCTTATTTACGAGTGGAATAATTAAATAATCTATGTGTATATATACATGAAGTGTCGTGGTGATAAAGTATCTTGAAATAATTTGGGTGATGGCAGTATCAATGAAGCCAAAGAAAAGGAATGCGTTTAGTTAGATTATCTCAACTCTTGAAGCACGTACTTTTTCAGTATATTCTTCTTTATGTTTTTCTTCAATAATGCAGGTTCTTCAATACCCTTGCTTTTCAAAAACTCAGTTGCTTTCACATCATCAGATAAGAGGTCTTCGATCTTTGCTTGCACACTCTCAATCCTTTCTCTTTGTAAGTTTACTTCATTTTCCATCTTTGTGATATCCAATGAAACTAATTTTCTAATAGTCTCAGGAGTGAACTCTTGAATACCATAACGGTCCTTAATTTCCTTTAATTCCTGAGGAGATTGTCCATTAGATATAGCAGTTTGAATAATACGTATATCTTCAAGTAGAAGACTATCCTTGCTCTTAGCTGCTGCATTACGTCTTTGTAAAAACTCTTGTGTCTTCATATATTCTTCTCTGGTGACTTGAGTCTTGGCTTGTTCTTCATAAAGGGCAAATTGTTGACCTTTATTTCTTATGATTTCTGCAATGGCAAAGAATTTATGCTTTGATAATGGTCTAGTGGCTTCAATACGAACTAAATCACCTTCACGGGCAATCTCCCCTTCATCATGAACCAAGAAATCCTTTCTATGGAACAATTCTTTGTTAATAATTTTATTGAAAACTTTTGTCTCTACACGTACTTTAACGGTTTTTTGCATTTTCCCTTGGGAAACAACTAAACCCATAAAATTTTGACGAGCCATCTTGAAATTATCTTATTATATTAGAATTAGCCAATTGTGTCTACAACTGCAGTTCCTACGACGATCTTATCCAATACTCTTGGTGAAAACTTCCCTTTCAACTACAACTTTTAGTATAATGTATTGAGCCAAATCGATGTTGAATGCTTTTTTATATTCGCAAAATTTCTTGAAATAAATTTTGAATCGATTCGAAACACAGACCACGTGATAATCACGTTTACCGAAATTTGAGAATGTATCACATGATTTAAAAATTTATCAAGTTATGCATAATCAAATCATTAGAAACGAGGTCGATACTCATTAATTATATGTGTGGGTATCTCTTACATATCATAATGCTTATTATTGGTATAAGAGGGAACTTAACCAAGAGGTTGAAGATGATGACTTAAAAAGACACACAACGACAACGACAGTAAACTTTGAACTTTATTACCAAGTTGGAAAACGTAATGAGGGTCCTGATCTACAACTTAGCATCAATTTTACTTCCCCAATGATCACTCCCGGTTGATGATAGAGAGTTTTTTCTGGCACACACTGCATCCTTTCTATCCTTCTTACAATATTGATTAGCAGAGGAATGGTTATATACATCTATATATATATATATATAAATAAGATACAGACACAGGGTGATAATTCTCACCGAGTTAATAATCAAGTGAGTAATCATAGTTACTGAGTTCATCATGAAGAGTTATTTGTCTTTGTTAAGACACTTCAGCTTGTCTATCAGATTTCATACTGGGAAATGCGTTATTGAAATCATACCTCCATTGTCATTCAAAAGAATCGATGTATATAGATAAATAGTTTAGATAGATACTTATTTATGATATATTAGCTTACGGATACTGCTATTACCGTTACTCTATCCAACTTCAGCCTATTGTTACATTTATCAACAGTAATGTTTTCCAAGAATATGATAACAAGATATGGGTAAAAAGAACCATTGTTGTTGCATGTACACACATCAAACAAGTACTAACCAAAAAGCATCGAGCTATGCTTTTTTCAATCAACAGTGATAATAGAGTGTAGATGTCGTTGTCATTAGTTCAAAATAATGCCTTCGACATTGACTCTTATTTCTATGCCACTACCGTGACTCCTCTGTTAACCTGTAATCTGACTCTTTACGAGGCATCGGGTCAAATTTCATCACAACTCTACACACAAGAACACCAACAACTTAGAAACTGATAACAACACGGAACATGACAATAACAAACAAGTGAAATTCATCATCAGTGGACGAATTGCATCTTGTCTCGATCATCCTTTTTCTTTAACGAAACAGATTTCAAATCCTTATATAAAGTCAGACCTTTTTGTCATCTCACGATGACTTTAAGACGATTTAGGAATTTGATTAGATTATTTAAAGGTTTTAAATAGCCCCAAACTTAAACAAATCCATTGTTAATAGGCTAAGCAACCAACCCAGCGATTGTGTAGCGAGTGATTCGTCTATTATTGTTTAAGATATTTTTTTGATATAATTTAAATCAAAGTATCGTCAATGTTTAGATTGAATACTACTGGTTTGGTGACACTTCGCAGAAGTGCATTGAGATGTGCTCAATATAATGCCAATTCCGCTAAATTAAGGTCGAATAGAGGGTTTTCCACCTCTTTGAGTCATTTACAAGCTAGAATTGCAGATGTTTCATCTGCAGAGTACTCAAGAATTTATAATCCAGATGTTTCAAATTTAAATCGTCCCTTAGACACTTTTGAGAGACGTCACTTAGGTCCAACTCCAACAAATGTTCAACGAATGCTTGCTGAAATGGGTTATGCTGATTTGGACACATTTGTTAAATCTGTTGTACCACCAAGTGTTCTACAAAAGAGAGAATTGTTGATAGACGCTCCTAGTAAAGGTTATGGTGAACAAGAAGTTTTAAACAAATTAGAAACAATTGCCAATAAAAACAATTATAAAGTTAAAAATTATATTGGTAAAGGGTATTATGGTACTATTTTACCTCCCGTCATCCAAAGAAATGTTTTAGAGTCCCCAGAATGGTATACTTCTTATACTCCTTACCAGCCTGAAATATCACAAGGTAGATTAGAATCCTTATTAAATTTCCAAACAGTAGTATCAGAATTGACAGGTCTACCTGTAGCAAATGCTTCTCTATTAGATGAAGGTACTGCTGCTGGTGAAGCAATGCTATTATCCTTCAATAACAGCAAGAAAAAGAAGACTAAATATGTAATTGATAAAGGTTTACACCCACAAACTAAGAGTGTAATTTATTCAAGAGCAAATCCGTTCAATATCGAAGTTATTGAAATTGACTGTTTTGATGTCGAAAATTCAATTAAAATATTATCTGATCCTAAAGTTTCAGGCTGTTTAGTGCAATATCCTTCCACTGATGGTACTATCTTACCTGGTTCAATCTTGGAAAAAATTTCTCAAACTGTTCATGCTAACAAAGGTCTTTGTTCAGTTGCTTCAGATTTAATGGCATTAACTCTATTAAAACCACCAGCAGAATTTGGGGCTGATATAGTATTAGGATCAACTCAAAGATTTGGTGTACCACTAGGTTATGGGGGTCCTCATGCTGCCTTTTTCTCTGTCATTGATAAATTAAACAGAAAAATTCCAGGTAGAATTGTAGGTGTATCAGTTGATCGTTTGGGCTCACCAGCATTAAGATTAGCATTACAAACAAGAGAGCAACATATTAAGCGTGAAAAAGCTACTTCAAATATTTGTACCGCTCAAGCGCTATTAGCCAATATCGCAGCAAATTACTGTGTATATCATGGTCCAGAAGGTTTGAAAAACATTGCGAAGAGAATCTATGGTTTAACCACAATCTTAGCCAATGAAATTAAGAGTGATAAATCTAGGGGTCAATTGATAAATACCACTTGGTTTGACACCTTGTCAGTTAAGTTGAATAACAATTTGACCTCAAAGGACTTTTTGAAAGAAGCACTAGAAAAGTACAATATCAACTTATTTGCTGTTGACGAAAAAACAGTCTCTTTATCTATCGATGAAACAACTACTGTTAAGGATGTAGAGGCTCTAACTAAATTGTTCACCAGTGAGTCGAACACTTCAGTTGCTGATTTCGTTTCATCAAAAGCAGAATTGGAGACTTTACCTAACGGATTTGCTCGTAACGACAAATTCCTGCAACAGGATGTTTTTAACTTACACCATAGTGAAACTGCGATGTTAAGATACTTGCACCGTTTACAATCTCGTGATTTGTCTTTAGCTAATTCTATGATTCCATTGGGTTCATGTACCATGAAGTTGAATGCTACTGCAGAAATGATTCCAATTACATGGCCACAATTTGCTAATATCCATCCGTTCCAACCAGTTGACCAAGTTGAGGGTTACAAGGAATTGATGGAAGACTTCGAAAAAGATTTGTGCACAATTACAGGTTTTGATGGTGTATCTTTGCAACCAAATTCTGGTGCTCAAGGTGAGTACACAGGTTTAAGAGTTATCAAGGCATATTTAGAAGATATTGGAGAAGGTCACCGTGACATTTGTCTAATTCCTGTATCAGCCCACGGTACCAATCCAGCTTCTTCTGCTATGGCCGGCTTAAATGTCGTTCCAGTCAACTGTTTAGAAAACGGGTCATTAGACTTAAAAGATTTGAAGGAGAAAAGTGCTAAATACAAGGATAGATTAGCCGCTGCCATGATTACATACCCATCTACATATGGTCTATTTGAGGAAGGAATTAAGGAAGCTATCGATATCGTTCATCAAAATGGTGCTCAAGTTTATCTAGATGGTGCAAACATGAATGCCCAAGTAGGTTTAACGTCACCTGGTGATTTAGGTGCCGATGTCTGTCATTTAAATTGTCACAAGACTTTTGCGATCCCACATGGTGGTGGTGGTCCAGCAGGAGCTCCAATTTGTGTTAAAAAGCATTTGATGCCATTTTTACCATCTCATGATGTGACTAAAATGATAACAAATGTAGGTAGTGAAAAATCAATAAAAGCAGTTTCTTCCGGTCCATATGGTAATGCTTTAGTTACTCCAATATCCTACGCTTACATTAAAATGATGGGTAGTGAAGGTTTGCCATTTTCTTCGGTTATTGCTATGTTGAATGCTAATTACATGATGACAAGATTTAAGAGTCATTACGATATATTATTTATTAATGATGGCGAAGGTTTCAAACATTGTGCTCATGAATTTATTGTAGACTTAAGAAAGTATAAGACGGACGGGATTGAAGCAATTGATATTGCCAAGAGATTACAAGATTATGGTTTCCATGCTCCTACACTAGCATTCCCAGTGCCAGGCACTTTGATGATCGAACCTACTGAATCTGAAAACTTGGAAGAATTAGATAGATTTGTCGATGCTATGATTTCAATCAAATCTGAAATCGATGCATTCATTGCTGGTAAACCAGAAGGTATGGTATTGAAGAATGCTCCACATTCATTGGAAGATCTAATTTCAGGTGAAGATTGGGAAACTAGAGGTTACACCCGTGAGCAAGCTGCTTATCCATTGCCATATCTAAAATACAACAAGTTCTGGCCTCCAGTTGCTCGATTGGACGATACTTATGGTGATATGAATTTAATGTGTACTTGTCCTTCTGTTGAAGAGGTGTCTAAGTCTCAAGCCAAAGAATGATGATTTGCATTATCTGCTATTGTCCGAAAGGAAATCTACTTGAACATTAAAAAATATCTATAATAACTACATTATCTTTTCTATCATATATGTAAACATTTATATCTGTTAGTTACTCTGCATTATGTTTGAACTTAATTTCATTTACTACTTTTTATTATTGTACATGGATGACGGTAGCGCAGCACAAATAAAATAGGCAGCTGTAGGTTATTATATTGAATGGTATGCAACTTATTATGTTTGAAGGTGTAGTTCGAGGCAGTGTACAAATTTTGAATCTTATTTTTTTTTTTCCATATTTGGTTTTTTGCTATGTATTTCCGTGAAAGAAATGAGGGACTAAAATAACTTTGGTAAATTTCAATCAAAAAAATCATCCTCATCATCATCTTCATCCCCTTTCTTATCCAAAGTATCATTGAAATCATGTTCTTTTCTATCAAAGATAATCTTAACGTCATTTTTCTTTTTCTGTTCTCTGGCAATTCCATTTAAGATATGAACAATTTCATCTTCAGTCACTTTGTGGGATACTTGACCTGTGCCTATAATTTGTTTCAGATACTGTTCTACTGCTTGGGCTCTATCAGGTCTCACTAATGAAACTCTAGTCAATCTCTCTAAAGCTTCAGGTTCCAAAAAAGATGCAATCGCAGACCCTACAGGTTCACCTCCACCATTCCCACTTCTCCCAGAAGCGTTGTCACCACCAGAAGCAGTGCCCCTCTTCAATTCAGCCAATCTAGCTTCTCTTAAAGCTTGCAATTCAGAATCCATGATTGATCAATTAAAATCTTAATGCCACTCGTAGGTTTTTTTTTATTGAGATATAGCCTAGTTTTCCTGAAAATATTGCTAGATATCTGTCTGTATGTCTTTTTATATTTTCTATGACCAACTACAACAAAAGCTGGAAGTGCCTTGAAAAGGTATAATCAACTGTTATCAAATCCAACCTACGATATCTATATCTTTTGGTAACGCTGTATGCCATTTAAGTTTGATATTGTTCATTAGATCATGTCAAGTTCTTCTTAGTTATCTGAATAATTTAATAATTCGAAACTTTAAAGTTCAGGCGATGAGAACAAAGCAGGGTAACAAGAGAGATTCAATTTATATAGTGTCAGTTTATTGAAGACGTCAGTTTATTTATAATGTGTAGTTCATTCTAAAAGGGGTATGTTTTAGTATCTAATATATCAAATTGTGTTGTATTTGATAGACGAATTCCTTGAATCTATTTACCTTAAATGGATGACTGATACTAATAAACCTGTTTCTGTCTGTCAATTTGTTTATATTGGTAATGTCACTCACGTGATATAATCCGAGACATACAATTTATTGTTTCTATCTAGAAGATGATTAGGAATTGGGGGGGGGTGCGGGGTATTGGAATAGGATATATCCAAGAACTCATTGATATGTTGGCACACCATACACACTCAATCGATCAATCTCCCATGAATCTTATTACTGCCAAAATTAAGATTCAAACTAAGCTTGGTTGTGATTACCCTGCCATAAGATGCATAGTTTCCACTCACACTAAAACTCACTTTGTACGTAGTAGTTAAATATTTTAACTATTAAATTTAAACTTTAAAATGACAAAGAGATCAAATAAATAAGGAACACATACAAGAAGTGGCTACCAAAGAGGTTTAAAACCGTTTAGAAATAGTATAATCTGTATACATCCTACCAGATTGATAAGATTTAGAAGAAGGTCAAGATTTCGTCATTCCAGAATACATCTTTTTGCTCCTAGGAAGTTCTAACGTTTAATGCGATGCTGTAAGGGGAATTAATAAGAATTATATTTAGTAGCCTAAAACTTCTTTCAATTCACTTCCATTGGTAGGAAGTCAACGCCAGTTAAAAGTATCACACTGTTGTATATGATTTCAATGTTGGCGATCTTTTGTTGATACAGGATCTTCAAGATTGGGAGGGTTATTTTTTGTCATGTGAAAACATCAGGAAGGAACAAAGAACGCTTTATTTAATACCTTCCAGTGGCTATAGTTGTAATACGATGTGCTGCATGAGGAAGTAGAGGTATTAAGTGAATCCTCTGAATAACAAGGTTTACTGCAAACGTTTATTTCCAACATCTTCAATGCTCTAAGATTCTAGTTTATTTTGTGGTTGCCGCCATGTTTACATTTATTTATAGCCTTTTGATTAATTTGCTCTCTACGAGTTGCAAAAAAAGGCAAACACAGAGGTAAGCTACTCGTTGCTGAATAAAGGGACAAGAAGGAGTTGGATCTGTGTTGTTGTTTTTTAATTCCCATCAGGAATCTGAAGTTGGGCGGCTACGCTCAAATGCAACTTTGGTTTACAATAGAGAAATTGTAGGTACTGTTCTGGCGGAAGTTGAAGTTACTAAATAAGATAAAGAAATGACATACATACTCCTGTTATAGATGTTCTTCTATCCATCACAGACCGTTGCTGTTGTTGAAGAGTTCATCTTATATCTCAACAGTTACTCAACACTTTGATGAGAAGTGCACGTTATCTTAAACATAGGAATCACATCAACCGTGTCATGTGATCAGTCATATTGTGGGAAATGTTTATTTTCTTCAGCCCGCGTGCTTGGTTATACGAATGTTTCTGAGCTGAAACTTGTCACATGATGAGTTTTTGTGGGAAATGGTAGTATCTGTGTCATGTTTAACGAACAATTTTTTTTTTAATAGAGATTGAAGGAACCTACCTACCAACTAAACCCAGCTAAACCCAGCTCATTCATTCATTTTATTCTATCCATCCAGTATTGAAGTTGTCTCAAGTTTTAGCTTAGCCCAAAGGAAAGAGAGAAAGAAAGGAAAAAAGATAAGTTATTATTGAAATCAAAAATTGGCTAGTTTTGTAAATGGTAGAATAGAGGCTAGCTTTGTTTGCTGGGGGAGGGGGTTTAATTCAAGGTTACAGGATAAAGTGTAGATTTTTGAAGTATTGACGAGATAATAATAATATCTAAACTTCTAGAGTACGAGGATCAGAGCTGTGTGGTTTGAAACGAACGTCGTTTTGTTAGGAAAGAAGAACTTTGGAGATTACATCAACCATTCATACATACACAATTCATTGATTTATAGAAAAAAGTTTAAAAGGAATTTTTGGATTGATTAAAAGGATAGAAATAGAGGATAAGGTTTTTTTTCTCTTGAAAAAATATAAAAAATTCGTTTTCATTAAAGAAGATACCATAGTAATAAATTTAAAATATAATTGGTATCCAGGAGTCTCATACAGGGTTCAACAAGATTCTAAAAATTAACAAATAACAAAAAACAAAATTTAGTATAATAATAAGCTATTTCTTATTATTTTATTGAATTTTCTTTTTTAAAATATTTTTTAATTTTTCTGGTTTTAAAAACTTTTGGTGATTTTTTTCCCTTCTGAAATCTACATCTAGTTGATTCAATTTCAAATTAGATTCATCCAAACCAAGAGGGTCTGTATCATTTATATACCATCATCACACCCTGTTTATTTTGTTGTTTTATTGCATTCCAAGAAACGATTCGATTTTTTTGAAAAATTAAGTGGCGTGATATACTTCTCTGTTCTTGTTATTTAATATTTCCACATCATTTAATTCGTTAAATATAGAACCCATGTTTAGTACAGCATCAAGTTCAAATCCTCCTTCAAATGGAATGGAAATGAAGGTAAAATCGGATACTCAATCAATAGTTTCATCTTCATCTTCTTCAGCTTCAAATTACGATAAGAAATTACGTCAAACTAAAAGGCCTAAAAGAGCATCTTCTCAAAATGTGGATTATAATCTGAAAAAGAGAAGAATTATTCCTTCTAATGATTCATACACAAGAATAAATGAGCTAACGAAGCAAAAGGATTTAGAGGATCCAAGTTTTGAAGAGGAGAGAGAAATAGTCGAATTAGTGGAAAGAGATGAAAATGGTAATATAATAAACATCAATGATGACCAAATACTTACAACTACAAAAAATGGTGCGACTGGATTGCCGTTATCAGATTATCCTCCAGAAAAAGTGAAAAGAGAATCCCTTTGGGATTATAAAAAATTATTATTACCAAATGGTAATATTTTTAACGTCGACGATTCAAAATATAAGGCAAACTTACAAACTAATAATTCTAATGATCTAACGAAATCAAGTGGCATAAGAGGAAACAGAATTCCAGTAGATATTCATGAGAACGAACGTAAAGACAGCACTTATAAATATTATGAGCCAATACAAGAAACTTTAAATAGTAATAAAAACAACCATAACCATCACACTGGAAAAATTGCTCACCCACATATAATGACAAAAATTAAAGATTCATTATTAAAAGAATCCAAAAGTAAATTATTTGGACAAAGTACAGTATCAAATTTACAAGAAGATACATCAACTGCATCAAATACCACTACATTAGCAAATGAACCAGAGTTTGATAATGATGATTTCTGTTCAACTTGCTTACAAACAGGTTCATTTTTATGCTGTGATACCTGCCCTCGCTCTTTCCATTTTTTATGTTTGAATCCTCCTTTGGATCCCGATCAACTACCCGAAGGCGATTGGTCTTGCCCACATTGCATATTTCGAATGAAATACCCAACTAATACAGCTTTCAAAAAAGCAGAAAAAGAATTTGTTAATGACTTGCCACAGCAAAATAGGCTTTTTGGTAAGCTCTTATTTCAGTTGGAATCAACAAATCCAATTCAATACAGGGTTCCTAAAACCGTAAGAGAGGCTTTCCAAAATGTTAAAACTGGTGCCAGAGGTCAATATCAAGATGATAGAGAAAAAGAACCTTTGACCGAAAAGCTAATATTTGGCACACCATATGGTCAAAGTATAACAAAATTAGATTGTTATACTCCAGATACTCATATTAATACAGAAGATAATTCTTTCTTGCTTTGCTTCAGGTGCGGAACGACAAAAATGGGAACATGGGATAATTATAAGACTGATTCAAAATTAATCATGAAATGTGACTATTGTAATACACCTTGGCATTTGGATTGCATTCCCGAGGTTCCTCGTGCATCAATGAAAAACCTAGGAACAAAATGGATGTGTCCTTTGCATGCTGATAAAGCAAATCTGAAGTCAACAAGCTATGATACACATAGGAAGTTATCACACAAGCAGAAATATATGAAGCCATTGCAAACCTCAGGATTTAGGAATAATGGTGATATAAACATTGCTTTAGATGAGTTAACTGTACCCGCATCAAAATACACCATAAACGAGTTTAAAAAACCTGGTGAATATCCACCTATTCCGGTCTTACAAGAGAATTCAGTCAAACTGGATTTTATGGATAAAATTTATAAGGCTAAAAAAGTACAAAGGGATTTAGATATTAGATCACAGGAACATTTGTTGAATAAAGTAATGTTTGCTTCAGCTTTAGAATCAAATAAGACTGAAACAAAAAAATCAGAAGGTTCATTAATTGGTGACCTTGCTCCTCTTATTTACTTTGCTTTAGGTGAAGAATCAAGACTACAGAAACTTTGGGATTTTAAAGAGCTTTGTACAATTGCCGACGATGAGTTGGTTAAGAACGATATTTCTAATAAGGAAATAAAGCAATTAGCATTCCTAAAGAAATTGTTAGAATCTAAACCTAAAGAGGAAATAATGAAATTTTTAAATCTTCATGAGTAGGCATATAACTTCATTAAATAATATATCAAATAATAACGATAGAAACATACTTAAATTAAAATTCTATTGATATACACATAAATGCTATTTACCTTGCTAGATTAAACTATCATATTCGACTGCATCGTCATCATTGTCATCATCATCTTTGTAGTCGATCTTTTTCCTTTCTCTCAAATTTTTTCTCATTCCAGTATTACTCGATGACCTACCACCAGATGGTTTATAAACTTCATCATCATCGATTTCAGAATCATCATCATCGTCACTATTTTCATCGTCAGTGAATCCCTTATGTCTGCTTTTACGATCTGATCTTCTAGTGGCCTTCTTTTTGCTTCCACTTTGATATTCACTAGCTAGCATTCTCTTTTGAGCTCGTTGTCTTTGAGTTTGAGAGGAATAAACTAGTCTACCAACTTTTGTTTTTATATTAGCTTGTAATTTTTCTGATGACTTTTCAGAAATATAAGTCTTGAAAGAAGCTTGTGCTTCTTTAATTGTAGCAAAAGGTTGGAACAAATCTCCCGGTAAATTTAGTTTTCCAGGGTATGCAGAATGCTGCCAAGCCTTCTTCTCTTTAAATTGAATTAGAATCATTTGGGATAATTCCCCAATGATATACATTCTTTTTGAATTCTCTTTTCTTGATATCTCAATTTCATCAGTATCTTCAGAGATTACCTTATCTTCATAATTCTTGATTCTTTCTGATAGATAATATAACAGACTAAAGTTTTCTTGGGTTGCAATTGAATCGAAGTAAAACATCAGATAGTCAATTGCAGTTGTCATAGCACTCAAGAAGGAATCATCTTGATTCTCAAATGCCTCAACTATGTCTGGATGATGAGAAATAGCATGTATCAGACGAGGTAGTGCTCTTTCAAAATATGTACCCTTTTTAAATGCCTCTTTGCCAAATGTGAAATTGATCCAGGTCTTTGTGACTGTTTTGACATCTTGATCAGGTTCGTAAGCGGTAAAGAATATCAAAGGTAAAAATTTGATAGATATCAATTCATTCGAGATAAAATCCTTTAGTTGATTCAAAAATGTCCTACGTACTGGCAAAGATTCATCTTCAACAATGTTAATTAATTTGATAATATCTGATGGTTTGATAAATTCATTTAGTTCTGGAATTCTTGCCAATTTCAATAGTTGAAGGCCTGCGCAACAACGCAATCTTGTTTGATAATTACTTGGCGTTGGATAAAATTCTTTGTTATTTTCAGAAATCAGCTCCCCACCACTTGCTATTAAATAGAAAAATAATTTCATAGTTTTCTTAATAAAGGCATTAGTAATGTCATCTTTGTCAGCTTCATGAGCTATACTTTTTAACTTATTTGTAAATAATTTAAGTGATGCTAACTTAGCACTTAATGCATTATATCTTGATGTGTATAGTAGCTTGTCATCTACCCAATCAGTTTCTATATCCTCATCACCAACCACTTCGTTTGAAAGAAGGACTTCCTTGATTAGATAGCTTACAATTTCAGTTGAATCTTCATCTAAGACTCTTGGACAATATTTAAATATTTCTGACAACACAACTATATTAGAGGTAAAACGCTCAGCCTTTTTGATATCTAATGGCATAATCATTGCTCTTATAGTTGTTAAAACATCCGCTGAATTTGGCATCAAAGAAATTAACTTTGTAGCGTACTTGGAGACAAGAGTTGTGCCATTAATAGCATAATCTTCCAGTTTATCCACGAAAAATGATTCTGAAAACATAATTTCGTTTGGCATACTCTTCCCAATTTTATATAAAGTTTTTAGAACTTCACTAAAAGGAAGAGATGCATCATCTTCATCCAATGTATTATGCTTTTTCACAAAATCAACTAACATTTTGACTTGGCCCTTAAGTAAGGATGGATTAATTTCAGAGATGTTATCTAACAACTTTCTTTTCAATTCCAAATACTCACCATCGGCTGTATTTAAAAATTGTGTAATATTGGACACATTATAAATCAGTGGCGATGATCTATAAATTAGGATAATGAATTGTCTAGCAATTTCTTTAGGAACAATTGTCGATACCGCTTTTATATTATGCTTTCTTAGAAGTGACGAATCATTTAGTTTATTGCTTAATTCCTTAAAGCTGTTCTTCCAGGATTGGAAGGTGACATCACTAGATATACATGTTTTTATCAAATAATATATTCTTCTATCGTTTAGTTCTTTAATCGCCTCAAGAGCAGCTATACCTTTCACTGGATCACTTAACCCTGTTGCCAGCCATTCAATTAATTTCGGAAGCTTTGCATTAGCATCTACCAACAAATTGGAATCTATAGTTGAACCATTGTCATTGATAATTTCACAGAATTCAACATACTTTGATAACGCAATAGACATCTGCACCTGTCTTTTATTAAATGCAAAAAAAGAGGAAAAGGCTTTTTTGTCAAATTTGGAAATGACTTCTAATAACCTTTCCACTCTTTTCTTGTCATCAATATCTAAAGAAAGCAATGATTCAAAAACAACCTTATCAACTTGTTCATTTATATGTAAGTCATTGATATAATATAAGTTGAACAGCGATGAAGGAATTTTATCAATGACATCCCACGTATCCTTATTTTCCGTAGATCTTGTTACATTCTTTAAAGATTTGGAATAAAACTTTGTAACTGTAGATATACATAATTCTCTTACGTCCTTATTCTTCTCTCTCGTTAAATGAAGTAGTGAATTATAAACTGATAAATTTTTAATATTATTCCACAAAATTTGTACTGGAACAGTGTCAAAGACAAGTACTGATGCTTTACGAACCTGGTTATCTGTATCTATCAAAGTCTTAGACAGACCTTTACTGATTTCTTCTGAAATATCGTCTCTGGAAGCCAAAATATCAGGGATGGTTTCAACCCATTGCACTCTAACATCTGCATTTATATCCGCTATTTTAGTAACCCATGCATTGAATACATCTTTATATGTTGTAGCAAAATTAATTTGTGAATCTGACGCTAATATAGATCCTACAAATTGAGTAGCTTTCAATCTTAAGAGATCCTTCTCAGAGCATAATTCATGATAAATGAAACCCATAACAGGCGATACTATATCAGGAATTGTTTCCCACAATCTAATAGTTAACCTATGTAATTTTTCCAATGATCTTGAAATTTCCCTAGGACTTTCATGATGTGAATTTTCATCATTGGAAAGTTCATAGAGAACTTCTGAATAATATCTAGTAAAATGTCTACTCATTCTACTAATATAAGTATCACATAGAATTAAATTAATTTCATAAGCACTATTAGAAGCTACCCCTAAACCTTTTGGAATGTTTTTGATGTCATGAGTCAAAAATCTGTTAAAGATAATTTTCAATACTGATATAGGTACAATGTCAAATTCTGATATGACTTCACCTAATATACCACCAATAACTTTATAAAGTTTTGAATTATATGTCCTTGAATCACTGTAAAAAATGGTAAATAAATCTTGTAATAACTGATTGGCGCTAGGCAAATCAGCTAACAATACGATTGATCTGTATTCAAGCAATCTGGTAATAAGATAAGTTTGCTGTAGATAATAACTATTTTCTGAATCTCCCAGTTCCTCAAATTCAAATAAGAATAATTTAAAGATATCTGTTAGTTGGGTATCTGTATATGGCGCATCTGGTGCGTATAACCTTAAAATATCACTTAAGCAACATGCCGTGAATGCACGAACACCGGAATCTTTATGTCTCAACAACTTCCTATTCACCAGATCAGCACAGTATCCTGACAAGCTATCAAGATCTGTCTGTTCTTGATCAGATGTAGATAATTCTTCATGCAAATTACTTAGTCGAGACAGAAGCTCATCTAGAGAGATTGGATTTTCAGATGATGACAGAATAGGTTTCTTAAACCTTAATTTGGCCTTTTGAACCATAATGTCTTACAAAATGCAGGAAATATGCCTCCAACTCCTCTTGAAATGATCTTTTCTTGCTACAACGATAGTCAATTTCTATTACTACAATGTATTAAAGTAGGTTTTATAGTTTATATCATTTTAAATCTTCCTAACGCGATTTATTTAATTTTTATTTACAAAAAAATTTACGCGTACGTAGGGTAACACTTTATATCGTAAGTCATCGATATTTGGCTTTGTACCGCTATAAAACATCACATTATGAAGAATATTGGTATTATTACTATATTATTACTATATTAAGGTAAATATTTAAATGAATTATCAACTATCCGTATGGACCAATGCTTATTAGTATCACAATGTCTTATAGACCGATTATGTTTTGCTTTAGTTTGATATATGCTTGGATGGAGTGGAAACTTCATGATATCCGATGAACAGTATCATTTCGAAAAACATCCGATCTTTGTAGACTAGGACCCACATATAATGTAGATCCTATTAGTTATTAGTTTTTATATTATGTAAGCGAGTTGAGCTCTTCTCAACAACGCTCTGTTTCTTGATTGGAGCAAAAAGACTCCCATATTATAATGATAAATCAGTCAACATCTGCTGTTCCCATGGTATTGTCACTTTTTATAGACGGGATGCTAAAAGTATCACTAATGGGTGATCTGATCGAAGTAGTAGTACCATATGCTCTTGCTTGATCTACTTTGTTATGAGGCATTGCATCCTGTGTGGTTACAGGAAGCTTCAGATCCTGCTCTGATCCACCCACCAAGTTTATAAATCTATTAATGGCACGTTCCATTACTGATCCAGCTTTATCATCATTAACATTATATGCTGCCGAGTTATGGAATTCTTTGACTTCCTTTGCAGCTATTGTTTTGGCCCTTGTGGCATCAATTTCCCCATCATCAATATCTATGTTACCAGGTTTGTGAGATGTAGTAGTGTTTGATCTCACTAATCTTAAAATATTGTGACCACCTGAACCTATTTTCTCTCCTTTTTGAAGTGGCTTCCCCATTCCCAAGATTGGGAAAACCCCTGGAGGTGACCTTGGTAAATCGTGGAATCTTGATATATTCGATCGGACTGTATGTAAAGACTTATAAGTTCTCCTGGATTCACCTGATCTTGCAGTAGACATTCTTGACAATGAGAGGTTGTTCTTTTCATCAAGTGAGTGCCTTCTTTCCGCCTCTGTGTATTGATGTATATCATTGTTCGCTGAGGATGAGTACGCATCTGGGGTGTCTTCTTCCATTTCGTCGTCTATATCATCCTCTTCTATCGGCATAACTTTTACCACTCTAGAATCTGTGTTCAAATCAGGTTGTTCATCTCTGGCTTCATATTGTGGCATTGCCAATCTCTTCTGATCTGCTTCCACGACAACCAAGTGTAAGTAGTACGGAATAAATAAACCAAAGGCACTCCCACCAATTATGTTGCCTACAGAGGCGGAAATTAGCAACTTCCAGATATACTTACCTACCGATAAATCTGCACCATTAAGCAGACCAATGTATGCAATTGTCATATCGGCGACAACATGGGTGAAACCTAACGACACAAATGTGAAAATCGGTAATGTCATAATGAGATATCTAACATGAATTGGCTTGGCCATCAATTGTAAATACACAGCCAGACAAACATAAAAATTACCAGCAATACCCTTCAAAAATGTCTGAATAAACGAGAATGATGCTTTATCTTCCAAAATTTTCCTCGAACCTTCTGACCATAATTTCGAAGTACCGGCTCCAGATAAATACATGAAAAGATAAGCCACGAACAAGTTACCGGCAATATTCCCAATCCAACTGACAAACCATGATAATGTCAAATCATAAATCGATATAGCTCCCCTCAGTAGACCTACTGAAAAGAACAGTATATTCGAATTGAATAAATCGGCACCCATGATCACGACATAAAATAGACCTATACCAAAAAAAAAAGCCCCAACAAAGTTGGCAACACCAGGATTGTTAGCCACTAGATCTGGGTTCTCTGCATGGAATCCAACATACAGAAATCCACCACTACTAAACAGAATACCACCAATAATAGAGTTTAGAATCAAAGTGTCAATTCGAAGTCTTGATTTTTTCATTGCCGTAGCAACCACTGCCAATGCTGCCTCATGAGGACTGGAATACAAAGAATCATCACCCGCCATCAGTACCTACACACAAAGGAGATCTTACTTTTATTCAATATCTTTCCCAACTTCTATTATCCTAAAACTCCTCTAATCCAATAGGTTCCTCCTGCAAAATTGTCCTGTTTTCAACCGTTCCTAAACCAAATTGTACCCAAATAAAAACAGAGAAATGAAATATCAACACCAACAGAACTATTCACTAAACAAAACGTTCACCAGAAATCCTATCCACTTGTTCAAATCAGATAACCTCTTGTTGTTAGGGTACCTCATCTCTTGAATATCATTATGCCCCACCCCCACCATTAACCTCTACTTATATAACAATTTTTCGATCGCAGTAAATTTTTCAATATCAAATTTTGGCAATGAGCTTAGTAATGTTAATTAATAAGGGCCATTTGGAAAACCATCAATATCAAGACAGTTTAATAGATGGAAATGGTTGTTAAAGAAGGTTTTAAGTGTCCAAGGAGCGATTTTAGTTGCTATCTGGGGTTATATTTTGGTTAGTAGTTGTTAACTATCTGAGGGTTATCTTTTCTAGTGAAGATTTTGTTAGGAAGACTGTTGATTGTTGATGATAAAGGGATACCCTGTGCCTATATCGATGGTAATTTAAGATCCTTATTTTGGAGTACGTTTTATTGATTTGATTTGGTTTGATTTTATTTTATTTTATTTCACTTGATTTCATTTGATTCGTGAGTTTTGGGTCTATATGGAAGAGACTCAGTATACTATTTTAGTTCAGTTAGAAAAAGGGGAAGAGACCGTATCAAGCACACAGGAACTATCTCAAACTGTAATTGATCAGGACTGGAGATTCACTGATATATGGTCAAGCAGACAATTTTCAATGCAAGATTATAAAGGTAAACGTCGTATTGATGAGAGGGATTTAGTGGTTTCGGAATATCTGGGACATGGAATAATACGACTTTTCAAAGATAATGATAATTCCAACGATAGTAATAATAATACTGAACGTATCGATGAGGACGATTTAATTGTGGTTCCTGGAGATGATACAATGGTTTGTATGTTGTTTGTCCCCATCTATTTCACAGTCCATGAATTATTACATTTCTATATCGGCGATGAAATTGTATATAATCAAATTTCTAATTTTAGAATATTGAAGAATTCTAAAAAAAATGATCTTGGCTATAACTTCATGGTTTTAATCAAGTTCAGAGACCCGCTGATAGCAAAGAACTTTAAAGAAGAGTTCAATGGCAAAAAATTCAATAAATTGGATTCAGAAACTTGTCATGTCATTCCAATTAAAGAAGTCGTATTTGAAAAAAAATTATTCTTACAACAAAAAAATTCCGACTTTCCATACCTGGTCAGTGACACCTTCACCACAATTGCAGATGACAGTAAAAATCCATCACAAGATCAAGTAGAATTGCCAACTTGTCCCGTATGTTTAGAGAGATTAGATGATGGTACCACTGGGTTAATTACCATTCCATGCCAGCACACTTTTCATTGTCAGTGTTTAGACAAATGGAAGAACTCAAAATGTCCAGTTTGTAGGTATTCAAATCTAAAATTCAGCAGAGAAGCATTGTTACGTCAAAATGCATCTTCTGCTCATTGTAGTATTTGTGATGCCACTGATAATTTATGGATGTGTCTAATTTGTGGGAATGTAGGATGTGGAAGGTACAATTCTAAACATGCAATACAGCATTATGAGGATACCTCTCACTGTTTTGCAATGGATATACGCACCCAGCGCGTATGGGATTATGCAGGTGATAATTATGTACACCGTTTGGTTCAGAATGAAGTTGACGGTAAGCTAATAGAAATAGGGACAGATATCCCTAATTCTAATAATCCGCAAGAATCTGGAAGTACTAGTAAGGATAATAATATGGCTACAACATTTTTGCGAAATAAGGAATATCATTTAGAATATGTTCAATTACTGATATCTCAACTAGAATCCCAAAGGGAATTCTACGAACTTAAGCTTCAGCATTCCAGCGAGAGTTCCAACTTGGATAATGTAGTGGAAAAGCTGGAAAATGAACTGGATGCCTTAAAACTAAAAATTAAAGATTCAGAGAGTTCGTATAATCAAAATACAAAAGCACTGCAAAAGCAGTTACAAGAAGAAAAACTAATTAATAATGGGTTACAGGAGAATTTAGAGGTATCAGACGAAAGGTTGCGAAATTTACAAGCAGATATCGATGGTTTAAATAAGGAAAAACAGGACCTGTCTGAGCAAGTTCAAGACTTAATGTTCTTTTTAGAATCAAGAGAAAAATTTAAAGATGCCGATGAAAGTGTTAGGGAAGGGACGATTGTAGTACCAGCTTCATCTAATGCTCCAACCAAGAAAGCAAAGAATAGGAAGAAAAAGCCTGGAAAGAAATAAGATGTACACCAGCACTGGCAGTTTGATAGAGGTATGAAGACAATGATAGATTAATAGTGTAGAACGTTGTTAGCTATTATTTTATGAACGTATTCTCTTATATTTGCTATTTTGATTCGTTTATATGATTTGTTTATAGAATGCTGATCGATAAATCTCTTATATAAGTTTATAATAATTTATAATGGTGGTAATGGAGCCCTGCATACCGGACATTGTAATTTGTATCCCATCCAATTTTCTAAACATTGAGTATGGAATACATGGTTACATGGAGTAATCATGAAACTGTCTAAGTCAACCTTATGTGTTGTTGGAACATCATCCACGTACACCGGAACTTCGGACATACAAATGGCACAGTCTACAGTATGGTCTGATGAAGCACCGTGTTCCAAAAGATTTTGTAATGACATTGCCTTGTGATAAGAATATCCTTCAGGAATAACAAGCTTGGGTAGAAACCAACGAGATCCAAATATTTCTTGTGAATATAACACCAGAAGTTGGAATCCAAGCCAGCAACATAGCAATACAGCAAAGAATGTATCCTTGTGGTGTCTAAAAATATTGGAAGGATATGTGAAAACATATACTACTGGTAAAACCCTGATTAAAGTTGTTCCTATTACAAATTTCCATAAGAAGGGATTCTTATATTGTCTTCTAAGGCTTGAATTTAAGTTTCTTCTAGATCCTCTGGGTGGTGAACCCTTAATAGCATTCCTGAATATTTGTGGTATCCAATAAGAGTTCAAGGCAAATATTGTTACATATTCAAATACCATTCTGAACTGTTTGGACCAGGCTGTAGAACTTAGTATCAAAAATGTAAAAGTAATTAATGAGAAAAAAAATCTACCGTATAATGAACTACTGATTGACGCATCATCTGGTATAATAGTTTGTCGTTGTTCATTGTTTTCTGATAAATTTCCTCTTAGTAATGTTAATATTCCAACACTTTGCTCATTAATTTGAGATGAATACACTGAAATTAAATAACGTGTTTCAAAAATGGAAGCCAAAATGAAACATATGAATGCACTAATGACCAACGGCAAATATAGTTCAGGTAATACACTTGCGGCAATGAAATACATAGTCGCTAAAGAACCATCGACTAAATTAATCATGGATAACGTATAAAAAGAAATTTTATTGATACTTGAAGGGGTATTGGTGTATTTCATCTGAAGTAACAATAAATATATCTGGGAAACAAATAAAAGAACTCCGAACATTAATTGAACTCTTATCGACCTTACTTGTAGCTCGTATCTTTCACCTTTAACATTTTCAAGTTGTAAATGAAGACCACAGTCAGGAGAAAATAAAAGGCCTGATTTAATTGAAATCGGTGGTAACGAGGATAAATTTGCTGGTCTTCCTAATGGCCATTTCAATTCATCATCAATCATCTTTATTTGATCCTTGGTGTATTGATTCCAAGGTTCCAACTGGAGGAAAGTCATAAACTCACATTTTGAATGAGATTCATCGTACCACTCTTGTATATTAGACATCGTCAATGTCTCTACATAATTTGATGTTGTGACATAATCGTTAATTAATTGTTTAACTTCGTTGAAGACCTTATCAGATGGATCAGCTTTAAAATTAAAGTAATGTGGAAATGCAAATATGGAACGGAACTTAGCACTTTGTGATATGGAAAGAATTCTTCCTCTTGTTATATCATATACAGCCAATGTATTTATTGAATGTTTTTGATTTTCTGAAGAATCATGAAAAGTAATTCTTAAATTTAAAAGTTTCCATTTGTCTGACTGTGTATTAAATTCTTTTTTCTTTGAATAATTTATCTCAGACGCTACTTTATTTAGATGAGAAATTTCAATCGTTAAATCACCCTGAGTGAAAGTCACATTTAAATCTTTATTCCTTGGTAAAAAATCACGTAAATATAGTTCACCTTCTGGTGGGACAGTGTTTGAAAAATCTGTAGAAGGTTCATAAAATCTCGGTATAGGCATTGGGTTCAACAGATACTCGTTGTTAGATATTAGATTGACCTTACCTAGTACAGTACTTGAAATATTTGGCGGGAATATATTATTACTATTTGCATTAGAGTTATACCAAACTTCTTCATCAATTATCTTAATTAGACTATCTGGTAAAAGCATATACTTTTCAGTTGGCTCCCAACTATCATAATGTTTATCTGGTAACGGGTAAGTTGCGTTAATCTCTGGTGAATTTTTGATATCTAGATAACTTAATTTCAAACCTGTTATATCTTTAAAATTTGAATTATAAGTCATTTCTTCGAAAGATTTATATTCTTTGGAAACCTGCTCCCTCAATTTCTGTAACTGATTGAATTCATATTGTGAAGAGACACCATCACCACCTGGACTTGAAAAGAACAAGAACAAAATGATGATTATGAACAATAATGAGTTACCATCAATTTCCATGATCTCTCAAAATATATTTAGCATTAATTAGTATATGAAATTTAGTAATATAAACTAATTGGATAACTCCTATAGACAATCTTTTTAAGCTGACAATTGGCTTGTATAGTTTAGCCTAATCGTTTGAGTCAACTTCCAAAAGTGTAGTTGAAGTAAGCTACTGCTTCTCCCTTATAAATATATTCGATTTTATAGATCGATTATTAAAGAACCATATCCTTCGTTTATGACGATTAAAGTTCGGTATATTGATAATGGACTATATTAAAGGTCAGGTTACCAAACCACCGATCAAGTTGAATTGATTAGTTAGTTGTAGCAATGGATAGGAAGCCTCTACGATATATTAATAGATCTTTAAATGTTTGATTTTGGATCCATTCCCTTTTTCTCTGGCTATTTTTACTTTAAATACTGCAAGAAATACGACTAAAAATGAAGTGGTTTATTTTAAATAAATTATAATAATTATGGTATTTATTCTAATCATCAAAATGGGAGGATAGTTTACATAACGTGGACGATAAAACATTGAACTATAAATTTAAACCTAGATATATACATACAAACAATAGATTTGGGGGGAATCTCCTCGCCAAGATTAGATGGAGAGTAAGAGATGGGAACATATGTTTCTTTTATAATAATCTTTTATTTTATAAAGTGATAGATGTGCATGAACTTGGTAAAAATTGATTCAATGTTCCAAAATTTGCAAGTTACCAGTGATGACAACATTTTCTAAGACTGATCCATTTGGAATGTCAATCTTTTGGCCATCAGAACAAACAATAATGACAGTACCTTTTAATGTAACGTTTTTACCTAAAAAGACATTACCTGTAATTGTTAGATGATCTAATTCTAATAATTTTGGAATGTGAGAGATTCTGGCATTGAAACCAGATACTTTCTTGAAATGGGAGCCCAACTTGATCAATGGATTTGGACCAAATCTGGTTGGATCCAACTTCAAGGCACCATGCTGTAAGTAGAACAAATCTGATTTAACCATTAACAAATCCGAACATGTCTTGACTGGCAAGAATCTGGATCTTGGGACCACAACACCGTGGGCACCGCCGAAATGTCTGATGGCAGCACCACATGCAGTTTCTAATTGTAATACGGTAACATCCATACCCTTTCTTGAGATAGTTTTTTCATTTGGAATAATTTCCATAGCTAAAGCACTCGATTCGACTAATCTCTTAACAGCCTTCAAGTTGATCCATAAATTATTAGTATTGAAGTTCTTGAATTTTCTAATGTTCTTGAAATCATCAATGTGTTCCTTTGGAACTTGAGCAACTTCTAATAAACGTACTTGACCATCGTAGGAGATTAGAGTACCACCCTTAACATCAGCTCTTGTTTTGTCGGTCAATTCCATAATATATTCAGCATCGGTTTCGATCATATGGTTCAAAATCTTCAAGTCAACGGTAGCACCTAAGTTATCACCATTGGAAACGAATAAGATTTCTCTACCTTGGGAGATTAAGGCATCTAATTCACCAGAGGCATATAAAGATTCGAATAAATCACCGTGACCTGGTGGGTACCATGAATCCAAAGAATCGTTGTAATCAGTTGGAACAGGCAATAAAGAATCTTTGTAAACTCTTGGGAATCTAGATTGGTTGAAAGATCTAATTCTGATTCTGTTGGCAGAATATTTCTTAATCAAATGTTCTGTGTCTTTGTCTGTGTTGAAAGAGTTCATTAATAGCAATGGGACATCACTGTCATATTGTCTGTTCAAATATTCAATTTGACGAACAGACAAATCTAAGAAAGTGTTACCATCTCTAACTTCGATAACGGATTTTGGACCAACACAACCCATTGAAGTACCTAAACCACCGTTTAACTTCAAAACTGCTAATTTAGATAAGTTGGATACATTTTCTGGTTGTTGTTCAATTACTTTGTAATCCACAACTTCTTCTGGGTTTGGAGATTTAATCTTATCCCAATCCAAAGTGTTACCAGAGGACTTCTCGACTAAATATCTTCTAAATAAACTGAAGAAGGAATCCAATTCATTTTCGAATCTAACATGAGAAGGATCACTAACATCAACTTTGTCAGCCAATTTATTCAAAACGTTTCTCATCTGAGAAGCAGCAACATTGCTGGTATTGCTTTCAAAAGCATAAGTAGAATGAGTCTTGATATGTTTCTTTGGAGCAGTAGTGGCCATTGTCGATTGCTGATTTATGGTGTATGATTTATTTTATTTATATTTATATTTAAATAGATATATCTGTGATTTTGGCTTGAATAAAACTAATAGATATATACACACATATACAAATATCAGTTGAAATGCTAGAGATCGATCTATTGAAGGATGAGTTCACTGATGGAAGATGTCGAAACGCAATTACAATAATATTTCAGCACAACGAACAGAGAGACAACACACAAAATAAGAAATATGTACCTCTACAGTAGATCCAACTTCCCTTTAAACAGATAAAGTTGTGTCTATTTATATACGAATTGAGTTTGAGTTTCTATCTCTGTGTTAAATGTCAAATTGCATCAATATTCAATAATTATCAGCATTTTAACGATACTTAAGATAGATGGATATATTTAGTTCGAGTTTATCAAGAAGAAATACCCTAGCAATGGGAAAGCAAGCTTAACTAACTCGAAGACAAAAAAAGTTGTAAAGAGAGGAAGAGAAGAGAAGGGAAGGGAAGGTAAAAAAACCACATATCAGAGTGATAGTTAACCCTTTCAGCACTGAGTATTCATTTCAAGAAGAATGCAGTGGTGGACTGGACTGCTAGGGATGAGGATTGAGAGAGGGATAGTGGCAGTCGATAATATATAAAGCCTGTAGTTATATTTAACGGTACTTATCTCTTAGCTATATTATTACATAGAAGGTTAAAAAGCAAAATAAAAAATAAAACTGAGAGTGTACCAAAGTCAGCTCAACTCTTGAGAGAGAGAGAGAGAGAGAGAGGCTAGTTTGAAGTTCTTCTAGTAATATTCAATAATAAAGATCAAAATACTTGAGCAGCATCAAAACTTTACCTAACTACAGGCAAATGAGTTGGCAGCTGCAATAGCCAGAGAAGAGATGTCTCTTCCCTGTATCATTCGTTATACAGGGAATCCTAAGACCAGAAATGGCCATAACGGTAGATTGTAAACTAGTTTCGAACCGAATCCCAGATTACAACCATCCACCAGTCAGAGCCAGTAGTGGAGAAGAGAGGGAGACAGAGAGGGAATATATATAAAATCGTCCTTGTCTTCGTAAAAACCAAACGTAGAGATTCAGGCAATGCCTAAATCGATATGTTTAGCAATTTCAAGCAAGGCAATTATACAAAGAGTTGAAATAAAAACACGGGGTGGACACCATTATATCCCATCCAACTCAACTCAACTCAACTTGTTAGAATTCAATCCAACAGGTTATTCTTGTTTGAAACGTTCTTAAACCACATCCTTGAGTGAGTCTACGATGTCTGTTCGAAAACTTGACTGTTTGGTTGTTTTGTATCTTTTCTTTTCGTCAACCTCCCTCTCTCTCCTCCCTCTCTCCAAGTGGGATCGAGATCTTGCGATTTCGAAATATTGGGAATACCTACTCTTTCGGTAAGAGACCGACGTAGAACAATGGCATTTTGAATTTCGAAATTGCAAGACTTCTGATTATTGGTCTTGGTCTTGGTCTTGGAAGGATCGATCAAGATAGATAGAGGATGGTTATATGAAGAGAGCTATGTCTTTTATGGTTTGGGAAGGGGGATGGAGGGGGTGGAGAAGTTGTACGTGTGTGGTTGATGAGGAGGTGGCAGATTGCTGTTGATCTCTTGCTTAAGGTATGTGTTGTATTGTTACAGGTATATACATGCATATACAAAATTATATGTAAAAAAAAATATGGTCAAGACTTCAGATTAGATAGATATACAGATGTAATGTTCTGATATAGTTGGTTTGCAAGGGCATAAAACAGTAAATAGAAAAAAAAAAAAAAAAAAAAAAGATAACTTGAGAAAGTATGTGGGGCAGTGGTGGTATTTTGATTTGACAAAAGTGGGATATCTGTTTCCCTTTTAATTTCATTTGTTTCATTCTCTTTATTTTGGGTTGTTCTTTAAGTTAATTTTCCTTTTTTTTTCTTTTTTTTTTTTAATGTAGGTTATTTTTGATCTTATAACCATCCTAACTCTGAATCGTCTAGTAATCTCCATGCTGTGTCGATGTAACTTTGCAGAACTTCGTTTTGAGGGGTTGTATTATTTTGAATATTATTATTTTCATAATATATTTTCTTGAAAATTGAAATATTGTCATTATAATCATTAGTTTCGTTAAAATTGTGATCTGAATGTTGAGAATGTGGGTTATTGCTGTATGCGGATGATCCCAATGAGGGTGATCTTGTCATGTTGTATTCCGAGAAATCTTGTATAGTGCTTGTCGCAGTGTTGCTTGGTGCCATTGATGGTATTGGTCCACTACGTTTGGAAAATTTTTGCCATCTTGGATAACTCGAATCTATTCCCTTGTATGGCTTTACCATGGTTAATAAACTCGTAATTTGAACAATTTCATTCATCGAATTGGAAAGTTTCAGTACCAGGTCTTGTGGGTTAATCGTGTTTTCCTTTTCTTCTTTTGTCGACTCCATAACAACGCTGATCAACGAAGAAGGAATGTTCTTGATTAATTCAGTAACGTTGAACAGCTCGTTGATCGTAATGATTGCAAATGGTGTGATACATCCTCTTGTCATGTCTGCAAGATTAGTATTCCGATCGCTTGATAATCCAAGTAATTTCTGATAAAATTCGTTGGAATTAGGATTGGAATACGGATTAGATGATGTGTTAGTAGAGCTTGACCCACCGCCACCACTTGGCGGTTTATCAATATCAAAATGCTGTAATGGACGATAATTGTAATCTATCGAATTTGTAGGGTTTAATTTCATCATTAACTTTAATATTTCCAAAATGACAGTAATTAAGGCACACAATGAATTTGTTAAATCCACGTACAGTTTTGACAGCTGTAGAGGAGTAATGTCATTGATTCTCAATTGGTAATCCAGTAATAATGAAATTAAATTTTTCTTATCAACCAGAAATTTCTGGAACCACTCAGAGATAAACATCGGAGAAACTGAGGAAGAATGATCTGCTTTCTTGGATTGGTGTTTCTTGGACATGTATGTAGATTTAATCACCTTCATTGCATCAGACGAATCTTTCATATGTGATGCGTTACAGATATATTCTCCTAATTCCAGATTTTTCAAAATGCAGTTGACCTTAATCAAATTTTCATCAATAAACAAATGTTCATTTTGAGATTTCAGATTGAAAAATTTGTCAACAAGGCCATTGATCTCTAAATTTAGTAATTTTGGGGTACCCAAGGCCATAGAATATGAAGAATCAAAAGTCACTAGTAACAGGTACAACCGAACAAATATGATATCGTAAGGTGACGATGAATCTGGTGACGATGTATTCAATGATAGAAGTTTCCCATAAAGACCAAAATTGTTAAATATTGTGACCGATACAGAAATGATAAACGAGTTATGTTGACCCAGAAAGAATAGCACGTAGATAAGGATCAAAAATGTACAAAGATAGACGATTTTTACCTTAGGGTCTATACCATTATTTTGTTTCAAACGTGGGTAAAGGTTGACTACATTTTGGAAGCAACTGTTAAGACTTTCAGTATAGGCATGAGTAGATTGAGTTTGTGGTTGTTCCAAAGAGACGGTTACTAACAACTCCAGGGAGTTACGAAACCAAACTATGACCAAATCGTTAAGCTCCTCGATAGAAGTGTTGATTACGAGGATGTCGCTTGTCAATGCTTTTTTATTGATTGGGATCACTGGGAAGTTCAAATGAACGAATTCGTAATATGTATTGATCAAGTCCAGATCTGTTAGCCTTACTTGTCCAGTTGAACCCCCGACACCTACTCCGGTAGAAGGAAGAGGTCCAGATGGAACAGCGGGTAGAGACGAGGCAGGAGTGACGACGTTTTGTGGAACTGGAACCAAATTGACGACGGCGAAGTCTGGTCTGGGAAGCAAAGAAGCCCTGGAGGTACGTGGAGATTCGTTTGATGATACGACTGACTTTCTGCGTTTAGAGGAAGTTCCCGGGACAGTGGCGCCAGAAACAGCTGTGTTCGATGCGCCAATAGCGCCCGTGGCAGGTGTTCCTCCACCTAGAGAAGAAGCGTACATTGAAGTCATTGGTGGTTGTATTTGCATGGGTGGTTTTCTTGGGAAAGAAGGCACCGATGAGGCTCTGCTGCGACATGCACTAACTGGGAAGTAACCTCCTGATTGTGAGTTAGTAGTTGAATTATCGACGATGTTGATGCCGTTTATATTTAGATTTGAATTATTACTGGTGGCCGAGTCGACTGAGTCACGATGCAAGTGTGACTGGGAATGGTGTGGGGAGAGGTGGCCAGCCAGGTCTACTGGTACTTTCCAAAACTGTTGGTCATGATTTTGTTCGTTGCCTTGAAAATATTGAGTAATCGGCGGGAGTAGCACCGAGTTGTTGTTGTTGTTGTTGTGGTTGTTGTTGTTACTACTATTAGTATTGCCACTGGCGTTTGCATTAAAAGTTTGATGTGTACTGCTAGTAGTGCTTGCACCAGCGGCACTGCTGGTGCTATTATTACGGTTGAATCCCTTTGAGGGACCACGTTTGAGTTGGACACGGTTGAATTGGCATCTGTCGCCGTTTCTGTTGCAGCTAGAACAGACGTTTTTGTCGTTGTCGTAGTCGCATTTGATTTTACGTTTCCTACATTGGTCACATGCCCTTGTGGCCTTTTTGCCGCCGATACTTCCTTTGGCGGAGCCGGTGCTTGAGGATCTGCTGCGTTTCCCTGGAGCGGCTGTGCTTGTGGCAGAGCCGGTTGTAGGAGACGCAGAAGCAGTGGCAGTGGCGAGAGCGGCAGAGGCGACGCTGGCGGTCGTTTGCTGCGATGGCGGCACGCCATCACGTGGGTGGGCGGTACTTTCTGCGATATCTGTCATCTATCTGGAGACTGTACTGACCAATCAAAACACGAGCAATGAGACTACGCTGTACCAAACCAAACCAAACACAATAAAGCAATTTATAAAACAGTGGGGTGTAAGGAGGGTAACTGTTTCGGACGCTGATGGATGTGTGCGTATGTTTGTTTCTTTTTATTTTTCTTTTCCTCCTCAGAGACACTTCCGTGTGAGTGTGTATAATATATTATGTTATGTTATAGTATAGTATAGTATAGTATACTATATATATGTTTTGGGGGGGGGCGCGCGTGATGTCGATTATGCCTGTGCTCTGGTGTGGTGGGAACAGAGCGGGAAGTAAAATGGGAAAAACTGGCGGTGTACTGGTCTCCTTGCCTTGCCAGCTGGATACGTCACTGTTCGGATGGATTCCGTGCGGTGAGTTGAGTCGAGTAGTGCAGTGGGCCAACCAAAAGAGTGTGAAACACAAACACAAAAATGAAAAAGAGATGGGAAGACACAAAGAGAGAGAGAGCGAGAGATACACAACACAGCAACGAACGAACGGTGTCGGTTTCGGTTTCGGTTTTCGCCAACGTCAATACAGCGCTCATTTATATATGAACCAGAATTTTGGCAACTAATGTGAATTGTTTTTTGCATGTTTGGTTGTTTGTGTTGTTTGGTTGTTGTTGTTTTGTATATCAAAAAAGTTTTTTTCGGTGGAGTGGGCAGGGCAGGGCAGGGCGAGAGAGAGAGAGAGAGAGAGAGTCTCGATCGGATCAGATCAGATCCCGAGAGAAGAGAAGAGGACCGGCGGAACAAGGAAGGAGGAAGGGAAAAACAGCATTGCTGTTCTGGTTGGTTAGCCCGGACAGTTTCGTTTGCGGGGGGGGGGGGTGTTCTAGCATATTGATAGCGCAGTTTGCTTATTTGGTTGGGTTGGACAGCCCCGGGGAGGAATAAAGAGAACCGGATAATAGCTCTGGGGTTAAGGAAATAAGAGTTTCATTGTTTTCTTTTCTTTGTTTGTCTGATTGGATGTGGCTTGTGCATGTTTTCCTCTAGTGTCTTGTACTATTACTATTGCCATTGCCATTGCCATTGCCATTGGTGTTACTGTTACTGTTACTGTTACTATTTCTATTTATTCTGCTTTCAATGGAGAGAGAGTTACGTCACTTTTTGTCGGAGTTAGTACTGCTCTGGATGGTGGTTCTTGTTCTTGTTCTTGTTCTTGCTGGCCTTCCCCCCACCACTGCCTTCCGACGGGATCGGAACACTGCCAGACAATACAATACAATACAATACAATACACACACGTACATACCCATTCACACAAAGAAGAAAGACAAGAGACGAAATGAACTGAATCACGTGACGTTCGTTGGCAGTGATCCACTGTACCTCTTTTCCCATCTCACATCCATGTCCATGTCCAGTGGCCGGGTAACTACACTGCGTCTCTCTCAAGTTCCCATTCCCAGTTTTTCCAACCACGCATGGCAGGGTAAGTGTTACTTCCCCTTCCCCTCCCTTCCAATTTCCCTCGCGCCGGGTAACACTCCACTCCATCTGTCGTTTCTATTTAGGTTTTTCCCGTTGGTTTAAACTCGAACTTTGCGATGATGTGATGATGAAATATCCAAAATTAAACTCGAACTAGCAATAATCTAATACTGTTTGCTTAGCCAACTATTAATACTACCACTCTACATACTCTAGTCGTTTAAGTATATACATTTTCCATCGATTTTTCAACTTTTCAAACACATTCTAACAGCTGTACCATCCTCACTGACTAAACCTCTTTTACTTTTGCTTTTACATTTTGCGTTTATCTATATATATAATATATAGATAGATATAGTTATAGATATAGATATACTTGTATATCAACTTACACCTATACACTCATATATGTCTGTGTAGCTATATATGTATATGTGATTGTATATGTATATTGTAGACACACTCGCACACTGACAGAACTTTAAACTAGACAAAGAGGTGATTTCATTGTTCTATCTTAATCAACTGAATTTTAATTTTATTTTTTTTTTTTGGCAGCAAGAACTATATTATACTATATTATATTGTATTATTATGTCTAATAGCGTAGACACTCAAGGGAATTCCCTAAGAAGAGACTCCATAGCTCATATCAATGGGATGGGCGGTGTCTCGTGGGGCTCTTTGCCAATCGGTTCATGGTTGAAAGATGAAGTATCATTCCATAACACTTTGAAGCATACTAGAAATGATTACCAACATAAAAAAATGGTACAAATAGACTCTCACAATGTTTACCTGCCGAATTTGGAAAAACAGTATTGTAAAGATTATTCATGCTGTGGTTTGTCTTTGCCCTCTCTACATGACTTATTGCGACATTACGAAGAAGCACACATTTCAATGTCACCGAATAATAACCATAGTCATAGCCATAGCCTAAATCACAGCAATAATAATAGCCATAATCATAATAATAATAATCATAATCATAATCATAATCATCATCACAGTAATAATAATAATAGTCATAATAATAATACTGCTACTGCCGCAAATACCACCCCAAACCCTTTCAACCAAAATAAGTTGTCGCATCTAAATATAATTCCCCAAGATGTACCGAACAGTAGAATCCAAGATTCAAAAAAACCAGCACATCTACAGCAAAATCTACCGCAAATGCAGATGCAACAGCAGCAGCATCAACCACAGCACCAACTTCAACAGCACCATCATGGCCAGTTGCAGCTGCAACAGCAACAGCAACAACAACAACAACAACATCTGATTCAAGCCACAAATACAATTCCACCAATTCACTTAAATGGAAGCCTTATAGACGCTGTGTCAACAAACGATGTTTTCCTAGGCCCAAACAAAAAAGGTTATAACGAGATGGCTACCATAGTACCGTCATCGACATTACATAACAACACCTCCGTGTATCCTGCCATGACCGTTGCCCCATCACAAATCCCACAACATCAACAGCACATAACTCATATCAATGGCCATCTTCATCACCAGGATCACATAAGAAACAATAACAATTCTGCTGCAGTCAACAACAACAACAACAACAACGGCGGCGGCGATGCTGATGGTGATGATGATGATGATGACGAGGATGAAGACGATGACGATGAAGACGATGACGACGAGGATGAAGACGGTGCAGGCAATGGTTATGTTGCAAAACCACAAGAAGGATACATCGACGATCCAGCAAGGAGACTATACGTTATGGACCACGAAGAACACAAACCGTTCAAATGTCCTGTCCTAGGATGTGACAAAACATATAAAAACCAAAACGGTCTAAAATACCATAAGTTGCACGGCCATCAGAACCAGAAGTTACACGAAAATCCAGATGGTACCTTCAGCATCCTAGATCCAAACTCAAATGAACCATTCCCTGATGGAATGGGCAACGAGAAGGATAAACCATACCGATGCGAGGTTTGTGGTAAACGTTACAAGAATCTCAACGGTCTGAAATATCACAGAGGTCACTCTACTCACTAGTCCCTACAATAAGTCACATCATCCAAAGAATAATGTAACAATATGTGTCGCCAATATCATCACCTCTTCTGTAAAATAAAAATAGTTTCACTGCTAAGTCAAAATTTAAGAAAACAGAAAAACCCAAAAAAAAAAGATTAAGATTAAGATTAAAACAAAATGAATAATAAATTAATCATCGCCATCATAGTCAGGTTATTATTCACCTCATTCTAAATAGTGTTTTTATGAATTTTATAGACAAACAATCAATATTTAAACTATATCACCTTTTATATATACTGTACTTTTAAATATATCACATTATAAGATATCTGAAAAAAAATAAGATGATATAAAGGCTTTAGATCAAAACCACAAAGGTTTTGAATAAGAAGCCAACTAAGAAGGATAAAGAGATAAAGGACAAGTAAAAGGATCGATTGGTCTATATTGGATTGGATTGGATTAGGTTCAAAAAGAGACATCTATTCAGCTTTGACCGTTATAGTTGGTGGTTACCAAATTTCATCACTAGCATAATTATTATTATTACTATTATTACTTTTGCATAGTAATTATGTTGGTTAATGTTACAAGACCTTTGCAATTATTGCAATGGTCATCATATATTGCAATCACTTGTTTAGTACAGTTATTAATAATTTTACCATTATCGATTTTGATATTTCATGATTTTTATGCAAGATTATTACCACCAGATTCTTCACAATGGGTACCTTTATCAACTTCAAACACCTTTGATTTCGAGAAATTTGATCAATATATTGATCGTATTTCGATTGATAAACCGTTACCTCCTATATTAGACAATGGTTTATCTCAAATGATTCCCTTACGTGATTACATTTTGTACAAGATGGATTTAGACTATAAATTTTATTGTTTGAAAGACTCGGTGAATCGTGGTTATAAGTCACCTTTAGACACTTTGCAATTACGAGTTTCAGTGGCTACTACAGATGATGATGTTTCGACTGTAATATATAGAAGAAATATCCCAATTGTTTGTATAAGAGACACAGATTCTATATCAACAGAGGGACTCTCTAAAATTGGACCAAATAGATTAAAAGTATTTGAAAAAGAATGGCAGAATCATATTGATATAGAGGATAAAATTTCAATTGATCCTGATGTTGTAAAAATATATTATGATTTCATTCCAGGTTCACCATCAATGCACTTGAAATTTGATCCAAAATCTGGAGCAAGATATAGAATGGAATTTCAACAAGGTTTTAGAAATATAATGTTAAGATGGAGAAAGCTGACTCACATATTTGGAACCTTGGTGTGTTACGTCATAATCTCAACATTATTCTCAGTAACTGGTGTACTTTCATTCTATTTGGTAAATCAAAAGGAACTAGCCACAGGCACAGGTACAGATACAAAAACTTAATTTACACTTTTATCTGGGTTTTTTTAATGGGGAACAATAGGAATGCTAGTAATGTTCTACCCATGTACTATCATCGGTTCTTAGGTTGCATGTCTTTTTTCTGTTTTATTGCATAATTTTAATTCTAATAAGCATTATATACATATCTACACTTTTTTCAACTTTCAAGAAAAGTTTCATTTTACAGTAATATGTTTTATTAACATATACTATATGTACATATATATATATATCTATAAGTTGTATGATTTCGGTTACTGATTTGATTCCCTTGCATTCGTATAATTTGTATTACGATTATTCTCATCTCTAACCTCGTACTCCATAAATAATGATTCATGGTTAATTATATTTAAAGTTTCTGTATATTGAATTAAAGTTTCATTGAATATTTCAATAAATTTTGTCAATTTCTCAAATCGAGTTTTCAAATACATTTCTTTATTCTTATAATAGTTTTCAACAATTATGGTTCCATCTTCTTCTTCATTATTGGTTTTTAATAAGTTAAGATCTTGGACACTCATTGAAAGAATGTTAGCATTCGATAAAAGTATGCTGGAATTATCATTATCGTTGATGCTTTTGTTCCCAAAGATGCCATGCAATTTGATAACAGGAATTGTTTCTTGAGCGGATTCATTTTTCTTCAATAGATTAGAATCCTTTTTAGAAATATTCTCGTCAACTACATCAAAAGAATAATCAATACTACTAAATGATGCAATGCTCATCAATTTCAATTCATTAGCTAACCCGTTAACTTGAGATCTATCTGGAATTGGAAGAGGTTTGTCGTATGTCCTAGCAGTGACAATCCCCCATTTTCTATTTGCCTTATCCACACTTCTCAGATAATCATCATTATTCATTATTATAGGTTTTAATAGTAAAGATGTAGTATCAGAAGTTAATATAGGTTTAGAATACATTAATTCAGGTGCAATTTCTATCGAATTCTGTTCATATCCATCACTTCTCTTAATAGAACTATCAGCACTAGACATTGATGACTCAACTGATGTACTAATACGGCTGATCCAAGAGTTGATGGTAGTACTTATTGAATTGGCAAAAGAATTTGCATACTTATCGTAGTAATCATCAGATCTATCATCCGAATATCTATCCCTAGAATTTACTCTACTTCTATTGCCTTGTCCTGGAAAAATAATCTCACCTCTTGTGGCAAGATCATCCAAAATATCAAATGGATATCTACCACCTCTTAGGATTACAGTTGGTCTGATATTACTTGTGCTTAGAACTGATGGAAATAACATGTCATTGGATTTAGCCCTTGATCTTAATTCGGTCTGATGTTTAAATATTAAATTATTTTCGAGAACCTCTCTGTATGGAGTTAATACAAATCTTTTATTTCCTTGAAAATACATGATTTTGGTATCCTTATTCCACTTTAAGTCTAAGTTTTTATGATGCAATAATTTTACTTCTTCATTGATATCTTGTAACAGTTTTTGACATTGAGAACGAATATATGTATCTCTCAATTGTAAGACTTTAAATATTAACAATCTTGTAAATAGAAGTTTTGTTATATGGAAATCATTTTCAATTATGAACACCGTAAAATATTTGGTCAATAGTAATTTTGCGAGTTCTTTTTGATTCTTATCCGGTAAATAATTCCAAATGTTAAATAAAGACAGTAAACTGGAAGCTTGGCAATTTACATGTAATGTATTCAACATCATATATATGCCTTTCAACCAAATATCCCAATTTAAAAAATCTATTGAATTTAAAGATCTGAACTGGAATAGTAAAAACTGCAGGATCTTATTATAAAATATATTACCGGAATGTGAATCGTATGCAGAAATCTTTGAAATATATTTTAATTGATATTCATCATGAAGTTTTAGAACCGGGATTATTTGGATTCCTAAACAACCAGTTAAACTCCTTAAGGATTCCCATAGTTTTGTAGATTTAAATCTCGTGAAAATATAATTGTTTAACTCTTCATTAGAAATCATGGCTGGCTTCGATCCTCTGTTACTATTTGATAGATATTTTGGAACAAGTTGGTCCGTATCAGGCATTACTTCAGTGGCGTCTAGTAAATCAGCACGTCTTAAATCACTCTGTTTCTGAGATGATTGCTTCGATGTTAAAAATAAGCGTAAATTTTGAAGATCTTGATCTAAAGAGTCATAGATTGTGTAGTTTAATAAGATGTGAGATCCAGGAATTAAATCTAAATTTGAACAAAATTCTGATTTGTTTTTTGAAAATGAGGAATATCTGGTTATGATATACCAATAATGCCAATAAAATGCCAAAAATGTGAATTCATGTTTCAAATGTGAAATGATTATTTTGAAAAAGTGTGTATCCTTAGTTTCAATGTCTTCCAATTTAATATTTTGATCAGTGCTTGAGGTCTGAAAAAACTTTCTTTGCTTCCAGGAAAAAATGGTATTATTATCAACATGGTTTAGATTTGGGTTAAGTTGATATAGAACTAGGGTATCAAAATTAAATGAATCAGGAAGGTAAATAAATGCATATGCTGTTAACTTTCCAACAAATGATCTTAACAATGAATTATATTTGTGAAAAAATCTCAAATTTGATGCAGCATCATCTTCAGGTAGTGCAGCATTTTTTTGAATTTGTTTGGATAGTTTAGAATTGATTATTAAACGATTGGTAACATAATGAGTAGTAATTAATAAATGATGAGAGTATATTTCCAGATCAACAAACGAGTGCTCTGGGAGTATCATCAATACTGTAATAATTTTGCTAATACATTCCAAACTCACTGAGATTATATCAGTATCGGTTAGGTATGTATCTGTTTGGAAAGCAGAAGTACTGGTATCGCTGTTTAAGAAGTTTAATAATGTCACCCACCACTGAATCAAAGCATCCCTTTCACCTTGATCACAAGCAGATTCTAACTGAGAAACCTGGTTTCTCAAATATGATAAAATAGTAGAACGAATGAAAAGTGCAACATTTTTCGGAGATATTAAATCTGATTGATCCTGACCAGCATCCACAACGTATATAAATTTATTCAACCAGTGAAATAAAGATTCTGAATTTTCTACATTATTGTATAATTCACTCCCATTAGAATCAGCAACTTTAGAGTTTGGAAATGGCTTTTCATTAATATTTACCATTGGTGTGTGGCATTTGATATTGATTCTCCTTGTGTTGACCTCGACGATTGTATTCTAATTATTTCAATTATGTTTAAGTCTTGAATATATTAAATTTTCTATACCTTTGATCTTCAACAGACTAGAAGTAAATCAAGTAAACGTTTAACTTATAGCCCGGCTATTCGATGTTAAGATCCGATTGTCTTCGATAGAATTAAGAACATATATGGACCAGGATCAAAACGTGTAGGATTTCACATTTATAACTATGTATCTTTAAAATATTTGATTCGAAACTTGAGAAATCTATAAATTTGAGTTTTTTCCCAAATAAGGCAATCGTGTCCGGTACGGACCCTATCCCGAGAATGTTGATGGATATGGTATTTAGCCGGACATATTTAAAAGTTTAATTTAGAGAAAGAATGGTAATGAATGTATGAACTATTAAGATGTCAGTATATAAATTGGACTTTCATATAGTGCAATTTCAAAATTTAATACTAAGTTTACTAATAATGGAATGATGTATTGAATTAGTTATATTTTATATAATAGAACAAACATTTTCTTATATTTATGGTATGACGACGAGAGAATTTAATCAATGCGATTAAGCATCTTCTTCAACGACAGCAGTTTGTAAACCCTTGACAGAAGCAACAAAGACAGGTTCGACGTAAGAGAATAATGGGTTCTTAGCATCTTCTTCTTCGGTTCTTCTTCTGGAGATTCTCAATCTCATTCTCAATGGAACACCCTTGATACCTCTTTTCCAGATTTCTTGGTTCAATTCTGGAGCCAAACGGACATCTTCAGTACCCATGTGTAACTTGGCGAACTTCTTGATTTCCTTGACAGCTCTTGGAGCTCTCTTCTTGAAGGTGACACCGTGTAACTGTAATAAAACATTGGTAACGTAATAATAAAATAGTTAGTATAATGCTAATTTTAAAAACCACTAATATATTTGCGATAACTGAAAAAAGAACCAAAAAATTCACATCACTGTTGTCTCTTGTTTATTATTTCTATTCTGTAATGCCCCATCAGTTAGCAATACATGATTATGCCTTTAACCTTATAGGTTCGGTAGAATATCAATTTCAATACGTTTAACGATATATATTTGGAATAATTCATCTGATAATCAAATCGGGACTTCTATATTACGAACTTGGGAGGAATGGATGCTAATAGTAAAGGTTCTTTAAAAATGTCATCAAGTAATCGAATTTCTAATTGTAAAACATACTCTTTTGTGTAAGTTAATAGTGTATTCACGAGCAACAACGTCTTTCAAGCCGGCCATCTTGACTACTGGTATCGATGCTTCTTTTCTCTAAGATATTTAATATCAAGATTTAAAAGATATACAATTAACATAAGGTTTCTTTTAACCATTAACGACAAGTGAATTAAGTCCATCATGAACTTGTTACTAAACAAAGCTACCATTACCCACAGTACAAGACAAGATGGTTCGTGCTAACCGTACACTGTACACTTACTGCTATTACCATCAATCCATCAGAATTGGTAAATGAATATTGTGTTATCAAACTATAAAAGTTCCATAACTTTACCTTACATCAATAGTACCAAAAAATTCAATATTATCCAATCCCAATATCAATCAGTACAGTGTAATCCTCACATAACTGAATTATCGTTAAACAACGAGCATACACGCACTGCAACACATATCATATCACATCATATCATATCGAATAGCTTGCGATGACCTTTGGACATACCATGCTATTAGATCATGGCTATACTTACTTACTTAGCTTAGCATTCATTCCATATCAAGCATTGCATACAAAAAAGTTTCAAACATCCATCTCATTGAAAAGTTTCAAAATGTGAGTGGGTAGAATCTCTGTGAGTCGCTGTGTTTGTCATTTTTCCAATCGCGTTCTTGTCCGAAGTTCAACGTCGCCACCAGCACCGTAACCGTGAATTAGGCAGAACTCTTCTAATGATATCTCTTTCTAGAGAGAACAGAGTTCATTATCTAGAAGGAGGGTTCTGTCTAGCTATCTCTATTCTAGACGAAAACGTTCCCTTGTCCAGAAGGAACACGAGAAGAGTCGCAAATTCCTGTATCAGCGGGAACCTTTCTGGTTCTTGTCAAAATGGCAGGATAGACAAAATCACGTTACTGTATATTGCCAACCTCTCAACTTCTCTGGAGATTTTCAAATTCTGTAGTTCCTTCCTTGGACCTTGTAAACACACACAAACTCCACTTTTGGTCGTAGCATTTTCCTTGCAAAAAAAACACCGAAAAAAACAGAATATAGATTCAGGTATAAAACTTAAGAATATACAATACATAAGAACATATTGGTAATGTACGGTTGTTTTCATTGGGTGTATGGGTGTATTAAAACAGTCACTTTATTTGTGTTTTAGCCGCCGTATCTTTTGAAGAAAAAGTACGCCCGATATTAAACAACTGATATACGATCACGTGGAAATAAAACCCTTGTCGTATTTCTGGACATATCTATATATAAACATGTCAAATAGTTGTTGAAAGTTTTCTCTTCTGAACAGACTCATAAAGGAGGGCTACATCCATAGGCTCAATAACAAGATATCGAATTACATTATGGATGAATAATCATTATTCTGAACGAGATGGTTATGATTATGGAAGGATAAGGTATAGTATTTTTTGAAGCTATTCACAATAAATAAAAACCGTCCTTAAATATGTTTCCAAGAAGGAAGTTACCGCTCTATTGAGAACCATCCGACTAAAATCACGTTATTTCACCGAACTATAGCTATTACTGTTTGCATCAGGAACTTTATAGAGATGATCTAGTTCTGACACGGTTGAATCCCACTGTTTACCTTTATAGCGGCAAATCGTCTCAATTGTCATCACGTGATTGTTATTTGGGAGTCATGTGACCGTTTTTTTTAATTTTATTTTATCATAATCCCCTCCCCCATTCTGCTTAAGAGAGTCAGATGAAACAACGCAACAGACGGATAATAAAATAGATTGCAAAGTATTATAGGAGTAGTGTGAGAGATTATTTAACAGTGCCGTTGTTGCTGCATGTTCTTCTTTTATTGACTAAACAAATTACGTTAAGAGTGGCTAAACAGTGAAGATTGAACTGCACATTCTAGTTTTAAAGTAACTCCAACAGTAGCAAAAGAGAGTTTTCTCCTATGCAAAATGAACAACATCTCTGGAGGTTGTCAAGAGAATTAATTGTTCTTTTTATAGACCAAAATCTTTTTCTGCTTTAGTTCTTATTATGCAGACAACAGCAGTGACAGCAAGGTTCAAAACTACTGGAAAGATCTAACTTAGGTAACTATCTCAAACGGTAAGACATCCGTCCAGAAAAGAAAGCTGTTTTGAGTTTGGTTTCCTTTTCTTTTCTTATACTTTCCCGCTTTCTCTGTTCTTTTTAAGATGTTTTATCATTTATTATAACAAACTGTGTGAAGAACTCACTGATTATTTCTTTTTGAGCTATCTCAGTACAAAGCTCTGCTGCTGCTGGAGGGCCCTGTCGTATTACCCATTTATTTCTTTTCCTGACAATGAGTTAAATTGTTAACGAGACTGGAAAGTAGAAGTTCTTTTTTTCATTGGTTATTGTTATTATACAGGTAAATATTCATTACTATTTCCTTCGTGCAAAGTACAAGGGAAAAACACGTAGTAGTTATTTTTGAAATTTTTGATATTTCGATTTAAAGTGTTTCTTTTAATCTGATTTAAATTGATTAAAGATTAAATTAATTCATTCTTTATCAATAAATCATTATATCTACTGGTACTTATTTGCTGTTACACACTTTACATTTTTTGTGTTTTAAATGGGCAGTATTGGCAAAAAGACAATTCTCAG